TTTTGAAGTGTTGTTGAATTTGGTTTGCCATTATTTTGTTGAGGATTTTTGCATCAATGCTCATTAAGATTGGCTTAGAGTTCTCCTTTTTGCAGTTGTCTTTGTCTGGTTTTGGGATGAGTGTAATACTAACTTCATAAAATGAGTTAGGCAGTGTTCCTTCCCTTTCAATTTTGTGGAAAAGTTTAAGGAGGGTTGGTATTAGTTCTCATTTAAAGGTCTGATAGAATTCAGCAGAGACTCCATCAGGTCCTGGACTTTTCTTTTTGGGGAGACTCTTTATGGCTGCTTCAATTTCATTTTGTGTTATAGATCTATTTAGGTGATTAATATCCTCTTGGTTCAATTTTGGATAGTCATAAGTATCTAGAAATTGGTCTATTTCATCAAGATTTTCAAATTTATTAGCATATAGGTTCTCAAAATAGTCTCTGATGATTTCCTGCATTTCTGTGGTGTTTGTTGTTATCTTCCCTTTTGCATTTCTGATTTTATTGATTTGTGTTTTTTCTCTTCTCATTTTAGTCAGGTTTGCCAGGGGTCTGTCAATCTTTTTTATTTTTTCAAAGAACCAGCTTTTGTTTTGTTGATTCTTTGTATGTTTTTTGTTTCTATTTCATTAATTTCAGCCCTTATTTTTAATTATTTCTCTTCTGCTGCTTGATTTGGGTTTTGCTTGTTCTTGTTTTTCTAGGAATTTGAGATGTAGCATTAGGTCATTGATTTGAGATCTTTCTGCCCTTTTAATATATGCACTCATGGCTATAAACTTTCTTCTTAGAACTGCTTGTACTGTGTCCCATAGGTTAATGGTAGGTCATGTTTTCATTTTCATTAACTTCCAGGAATCTTTTAATTTCCTCTTTCATTTCATCAATGACCTATTGATCATTGAGCATTGTGTTGTTTAGCTTCCAGTTGTTTGCACATTTTCTACTATTGTTTATGTTGTTGAGTTCTAGTTTTAATTCATTGTGATCAGGTAGAATGCATGGTATTATTTCTATTTTCTTATATTTGCTGAGGCTCGCTTTGTGCCCTAACATATGATTGATTTTGGAGAAGATTCCATGGGCTGCTGAGAAGAATATATATTGTGCAGAAGTTGGGATGAAATATTCTGTAGACATCAACTTGGTCCATTGATCTATGGTGTGGTTTAGTTCTAGAATTTTTGTATCGATTTTTTTGTTTGGATGACCTATCTATTGGTGATAGGGGGGTATTAAAGTCTCCCACTACCACTGCATTGGAGTCTATATATGCTTTTAGGTCCTTCAGAGTATGTTTGATGAAATTGGGTGCACTGACATTGGGTGCATAGAGGTTGAAAACTGTTATATCCTTTTGGTGTATTTCACCTTTTATTAGTATGGAGTGTCCTTCTTTATCTCGTTTGATCAATGTAAGTTTGAAGTCTACTTTGTCCGAGATAAGTATTGCTACTGTCTGTTTTCAGGGGCCACTGGCTTGGTAAATCTTCTTCCAGCCTTTCATCCTAAACCAGTGCTTGTTTCTGTCAATGAGATGGGTCTCCTGTAAACAACAGACTGTTGGATCTTCCTTGTTAATCCAGTTTGCCAGATGGTGTCTTTTGATGGGGGAGTTAAGTCTGTTAACATTCAGTGTTAGTATTGATAGGTATGTGGTGATTTCTGTCATTTAGTTGTTTTTGTTGTTTAAGCATTTGGTTTTGTGCAGCTGAATCAATGTTACTCTCTGATTCTTTGTCTTTTCTTCTCCTGTGGTTTGGTGTTGCCTGTCCTCTTATGGTTTTCTTTGCTTTCATTTTCTGTGTGAAGAATTCCTTGAAGAATCTTTTGTAGTGGTGGCTTGGTGGTCATATATTGTTTTAGTTTCTGCTCCATCTATCTTGAATGGTAGTTTTGCTGGGTAGAGTATCTGAGGGTTGAAGTTGTTTTCATTCAGTGCCCAGAATACCTCATTCCATGCTCTTCATATTCAAGTTCTGAGATTCTGTCTTCCACATGTTCTAGTCTGTTGGAGTGGACTTCCATTGTGTTTTGTATTTCTGTTTCATTCTTTTTTCTGAGGTTTTCCATATCATGGGTCACTTCCTCTGTCAATTTTTGTCTTTAATTCATTTATCTCTCTATTAATAGTGTTCTCTGTTTCACTTTCATGCTTCTTTAGGGTTCCTATGAGTTCATTTGTTTCTGTGTCTTCTCATATTCTTTATTTTTGGTGTCTTGGAATTTCTTGAGTGACTCTTGTAAGTTTTGGTTGACCATGTCTAGTAACATCTCCATGAAGTTCTCAGTGATTACTTGCCAGATTGCTCCTTTCAGGGTGTTCTTGTGGGCTTCATTGGATTAATTGGCATCATTTATCTTTGTTTTTTTTGAGTCTGGAACTGAGTATCCATTTTCTTCATTTCCCTCTGAATCCTGTATTAAATTATTTTTGGGGGGAGAATGGTTTCCATCCTTTTATTGTCTTCCCATCACTCCACTTGGTACTGTGTAACTATGTTCTTGATAGGCTATTGGTGATTTCAGTCACCTGTTTTCTTTCCCTTGGTTTAATTGTTTTGTGGGTGTGTTGGGTTTTAGGTTAGTACATGTATGCTATTTCTGTCCCTGGTCTGTGTGTAATTTAGTATTAGCTAACTCACAATAATAAGACTAACAAAACAAAAACAAAAAAGAAAGAAAACCAAAGAAATCAACAGGGAGAGATGGACAAACACACAGAGACAAACAGGAAGCAAAACAAACAAACAAACACACAAAAAAATTCCAGGTTCAGGAACAACAGAATTTCAGTCTTAGTAGTTCTGGTGTTACTCCTTCAGCATCCAGTCCTGGTGTTGGTATTTAAGCAGAGGCTCTGTCTTAGTCTTGCCAGGCGGTTAGGGAGTCTCACCAATTTTTTTCCCTTTCAGTGGCAGCTGCTTAGTCAGCTCCTCCCTCAGTGAGGTGTGGCTTGTCCTCAGGTTCCAGAGATCAGCTCTGTGGCCCACCAGCTGTCCTGCTTTGGAGTTGGATTTTCCCTGTGTTGGTTTATTGGGGGTTTGTTTCTTTGCCTCACCCCCTTTCTCTGGGGCAAGGTCAGTGATCCACCAGCCAGCCCCCTGCTGCCAGTGTGTTATGCTGGTTTGCTGATTGTTTTTCAATTTTGCAGCATTGTTTGACTTTGGATGTCGCTCACTGGCTCAGATGAGCTTTGTGGACTGCTATCTGCCTTATTTCAGGCAGCAGTTTATCACCTGCCCACTGTTGGCCCTTTTGCCTTTCCAGCCTTTGTTTACTGAAAGTTCCCGTGAAGATCAACTCCTTTCTTTTCCTCCCTTCTCTGGTGTGCTTACAGCACCCCACCCCCTCTGCTGCGTGTTCCTTTTCAGTTCCTTGTTTATTTATTTATTTTTTTTTTTTTCGGGGCGGGAGGTCAGTCTGTCCATGGGGCTATACTGGTTTATCAGCGGGTGGCTGTGGCAATACCGCATGACACTTGTTGCTCACCTGTTGGTCTGCAGGATGTCTCCCAAGCAGGATTGGAGCCAGTGTCTGGTGACGCAGGAGCCCTCCTGTTTTCTCAGTGTAATGTGGCATGGAGAAGCTTTGCACAGACTGGGGTTCAGGGTGTCAAAATTTTGACTCTTCTTGGTGCTTTTTTTCTGCGAAGTGTGGCTCCAGTGTCTCAGCAAGATTTTTGATTTACAAAGCTCACGCTGTCTGCTTCTGCACTCTAGTTGCCATCTTGGATCCTCCTGGGAATGAGTTCTTAGATGACAAGTTTAGAACTTTTCTTTTTCAAGTACCTTAAAAATTGGAATTCTGAGATTTTTATGGACAATGTACTTCTCCATAATGAAGGTAGTCATATGCAGTTTCTAAAGTGTGAAGACCAGCCCTGTCATCTTAAGTCTCCCACACAGTTCTTTCAACGGAGAGAATGGCATCTGCCATAAAGATTAAGTGAGTGCATGCATTGAAAGCCCACATCAAGCCAGGTGCTGCTGGCTCACGCCTGTAATCTTAGCTCCTCAGGAAGCAGAGATGAGGAGGACTGTGGTTCAAAGCCAGCCCAGGCAAATAGTTCAGGAGACCCTATTTTGAAAACAAAAATTTTAAAAAAGGGCTAGTGAGAATGGCTCAAGTGGTTGAGAGTACCTGCCTAGCAAGTGTGAGGTCGAGTTCAAACCCCATTGCTGCCAAATAAAAAGCCCACATCACCATTCAGGATACTAGAAGTGGGCTGGTAGAGTGGCTCAAGCAGTAGAGTGCCTGCTTTCCAAGCATGAAGCCCTGAGTTCCAACCCCAATCCCACCAAAACAAAACAAAACAAAACAAAAAAACCAGGATACAGGAAGTACTCGGTAAGTAAAGGTTAACTAGTATGAAGGGTGGTCTCATGGGACAGCTCCATGGTAGAATGTTGGGCTTGACCCCCACAATCAGGGAAAGGAAAAAGTGAATGTAACCAGTTGCTTAAAGATGTTTGCACCATTTCTAACAGCAGGGGTCACTGTCTCCCCAAATGCTGAAAGGGGGCTGTCAATGCTAATCCATGTTTGTGTACCCCATGTGTCTTAGGAAGTGAAAGGTAAAAGATGAAATAATTCTTACAGGTACCTTATAAGTAAAGAGCAGCAGCATTCTGCAGCTCCAGAATTGATGTTTGGGAATTAAAAACAAATTTATACAAACAGGGGTAGAGGGCTTAAGTAAAGTTAAAAAATACCAGTTTAGGAATTATCAACTCTTGGTACTTGAGAGTCTAAAATGTTGATTATAGCAGCCCTAAAAAATTTTCTTCTGACCTATGTGGTATGATCCAGTCTCAAAACAAAAGGATAAGCCTAATAAATGGATGTTGAGATTGTAACAAGTTCAGCAGGTAAAGCACTTAAAAAGAGAACTATTAATTTTATTATAAAACTTAAAAATTTAATGATTTCTGTACTTTCTTAGAAGAATAAAAGGTGACAGCTAACGTTCAAAGCTGGAAATCAAACAGTCAGACAAAAAATCACATTTATTTCAATAGCTCAAAGTGCAAATACAGTAAGTCAGTTCACAAAGGCTCAAGGTACAGCTTTAAGTATAATTAAAACTTGACATACAAATGAAAGGGCAAACAGCAGAAATAAAGCTCCTCAATTTTTAAAAATTCAAGTATTTGAAAAACTTTGACTAAAGCATTCCACTCACATCGCGCCAGAATGCTTTCTCTGACAGATGCCAATAGTGCACTACAATTGAAAACAACTCTCAGATAGAGAATTGCCCTGAACTGGTGAGCTTCAGGAGAGAGTGAAGTTTTTGCTGTAAGTTAGTCCTGATTTGACAGAATCAGGCATCAGCCGATGTAGTTTAATTCATGATATTTTGATTTTAGGCAAATTCTAAAAATGTTTAAAGTCAATGCAAGGCCAACAATACTACTATGAATTTTGTGAAATGACCAGTACATATCTAAAAGATTTAAAGGCCAATGTCAACTTCAGGCCTCTGATATACTGGGGGAAAAAGAACTTAGACTAATACTTCTTCCACTATTTAAAACCTCTTGGTAAGGTTGGCAACATGGCCTTTAAAACTTCCTCATAAAAACTGTACTTAAATATATATCTATGTATTCCTACATACACAGAACCTGTAGAAAGTAGAAAAGGTCCCATTAGAAGAAAATTGAAAGTTGTTAATGTTCTTCTTATCACTGAGCAGCCAAGACATGTTTATTTTTGCTCCCCAGAAGCAATGTTACCTACTAGTTTCAATTCAGGGAAATGTGTATCTCCAGGAAGGTTTATGAGAAATACTTATTCAGTCTTTTTCTCAGACTTCTTTGACTTCATCTTTTCATTATAAGCATGAAACTGAGAGTCTGTGCCAAAAAGCCAATCCCACCAGGTAAACGTTGATGCATAATTCCCGATGAAGTTCATGTGGTGGAAGTCATGATGCCGAGCCCCAGCATAGAAAGGGATTAAGTTCAAAGGGTTGAGAGGAATGTAATAACCACTGAAATAAAAATGATGAAGATTATTAGAGAAACAAATACATCTCAAATAACTGATGTTTTCATTTTAAAAATGAACTAAACATTATACATCAGGAAGTGAAAGACAGGGGCTGTAAAAATGAATTTTTAGAGACGAATTATCATGAAATATTTTTCTTGAGCTGGGCACTAGTGGATCATGCCTGTAATCCTAGCAACTTGGGAGCTGAAGTAGGGAGGACTGAGATTCGAGGCAAGGTTGAACAAATAGTTCTTGAGACTCCCATCTCCAAAATAACTAGAGCGAATGGACTACAGGTATGGTAAAGTGCCTGCTTTGCAAGCGTGAAGCCCTGAGTTCAAACCCCACAAAAAAATTTAAAAAATTGTTTTAGAGGATCTTTTCCATCACAATCTAGAACAGATGTAAATAAAGTCCAAAATACTACTTATATTTTTTAGGAAAAATATGGAATTAACATCAGGTATTAAAATAAAAAGTTTAAGCTTAAGAATCACTGCTCAGCAGCTGCTTTTACTTTTCAAGGCAATGCCACTTGGACCTAAACGTACCACGATTACTTAAAGTGCTATCATGCCTTTATATAGTTGGGAGAATACAAATGATTAAAAGAGTCCCATTCTGAGTATCTTCCTCCACTTCTATATCCATTATCTAAAGCTAGACACAACTATTAGAATTTCATATTCTGTATTCCTGAGTACAGTTATCAGTCCAAATCAGAATGCAGTGAATACATAATTTTAAAATAACAGAAAGGAATTATCTTAAATACGTCCATATTATAAGGAGGATCGTCATCAGGTAAGTGCTTTCATTAGTGCTGAACAATAGAGACTGAAATGGCTTAATTTGTGCAAACTGAAGGTTTCGAGACTTAGGGTTAGGGAGAAAGAAATTGCTAACCTTGAACATTAATTTACCCAATAACACAGTATCACTCTAAAAATGGTAATATTTGAACTTTTATCTAATGATTATGATCTCCTATTTTCCTAAAAACAGTAACATGAAAAAGATTAACTTTTTCTATTAGTCTACTTAGAAATACAAATTATCTTATGACCGTGAAAATAAAGGCATTTAATAGAACCTCACAGCTAGACAGAAACCATCACTCACCTATGGACATCAATAGTCTCTATCAAGCGGATGGCCACCCACGCCCAAAGAAGAATCACATGGTCGCACAAAAGCACGATTCCAATGAAAAACCCAGTTCCAAGAATGAGCGTTTCCAAAGGATGGGCATATTCAGCTTCCATTCCAAATGGAGCCTAAACAAGCAGAGTAAGAATTCCTTAACAGACTACATGGTGAATTTATGGGTCAACTTGCTAAGCTAGAGTGCCTGACTGTGTGGTGAAACACCAGTTTAGATGTTACTGCAAAAGTGTTTTTTAGATGTGGTTAATACCTAAATCAGTAGACTGAGTAAAGATTACTCTCCAGGAGGGTAGGCATCCTCTAGATAGCTGAAGGTGTTAAGAGCAAAGACTGAGGTTTCCTGAGGAGTAAAGAATTCAAGATGGCAACACAGTGGCGAGGATGTGGGGAAAAAGAAACCCTCGTACACTGCTGGTTGGAATGCAAGCTGGTGCAACCACTCTGGAAAAAAATTTGGAGACTTCTTAAAAATCTAAACATAGACCTAACATATGATCCAGCAATCCCGCTCCTGGGGATATACCCAAAGAAATACAACACAGGTTACTCCAGAGGCACCTGCACACCCATGTTTATTGCAGCACTATTCACAATAGCCAAGTTATAGAAACAGCCAAGATGCCCCACTACTGACAAATGGATCAAGAAAATGTGGTATTTATACACAATGGAATTTTACTCAGCCACGAAGAAGAATGAAATCTTATCATTTGCAGGTAAATGGATGGAACTGGAGAACATCATTCTGAGTGTGGTCAGCCAGGCTCAGAAGACCAAAAATCGTATGTTCTCCCTCAAATGCAGACTTTAGATCTAGGGCAAATACAGCAATGTGGTTGGACTTGGATCACATGACAAGGGGAGAGCACATACGGGAGATACAGGAATAGGTAGAAAAACCTAAACATGAAAGCATTTGATGTCCCCACTCCAGAGGAACTAATATAGAAACCTTAAAGCAACAGAGGTTATCATGAGAAGGGGATCAGGAACCAGTGTAAAGATCAGTTAGAGATGAATCAACCTGGGTACACGAAAGCAATGTTAGGAATCTCTCTGTATAGCTATCCTTAATCAACTAGCAAAAATGCTTTATGCTTCTGTCTTTTCTTCAACAAAATTAGTGATAAGGGCAGAACAGGACCTGCCTTCCCCCCTGAGGGGAGGAGGGCAGGGTGGAGAAATGACCCGACCGATGTATGCACATGTGAATAAATGAATTAAAAAAAAAAAAAAGATGGCAACACAGAAACCTTGACTGAGTTTCCAACTTTACTGCATAGTTTAATTTGAATCCAAGCTCATACCAATTCTTACCTAAATTTCAGCCTGCACCCTGCTTTACAATTTTAGATCTGCCAGGCCCACCAATCTCATCAGCAATCCATTAAAATTAACCTGTCTCTCTATGGAGATATATGCTACTCATTTTGTTTCCCTGGAGAACCCTAACTCATTTACTGCATTTACACAGTTTCATAAAATTACACTGCGTGCATCTGTGATATCTAGTCATACATATATAAATAATAGTCGTTTCCAATAAAAGTATCTTTCTCTATTAACCAGAAGGTCTAGGGATATAAAATCTTTAGTGGTTTATAAGGTAAAGGCATTAAACTGGCTTGAGTCCATACTTCTTATTTACACATTTGTGTTTGCTATGCCAAGAAAAGGGTCCTTGGTTTAGTACAGTAGTCCCTCCTTATCCACAGTTTTATTTTCTGAGGTTAGAGTTAGCCCAAGGTCAACCACAGTCCAAAAATTTAAGTGGAAAGTTCTGGAAATAATTCGAAAGTTTCAAATTGTGTACTTCTCTGAGTAATATAATAAAGTATCCATCCTGCCCTTCCCAGGGTGTGAATCAATCAGCCAATCAATCTGGTATACTACCTGGCTGTTAGTTCTTTAGTAGATGTCTCAGTTATTAATATGGCATCCTAGCCGTGGTTTCAGGTGTCCTTGGGGCTCTTGGAACCTATCTCCTGTGGACAGGTGAGACTGTGGCTATCAAGATCAATGCACAACTATTCACAATAGCCAAGTTATGGAAACAGCCAAGATGCCCCACCACTGACGAATGGATTAAGAAAATGTGGTATCTATACACAATGGAATTTTATGCAGCCATGAAGAAGAACGAAATGTTATCATTCGCTGGTAAATGGATGGAATTGGAGAACATCATTCTGAGTAAGGTTAGCCTGGCCCAAAAGACCAAAAATCGTATGTTCTCCCTCATATGTGGACATTAGATCAAGGGCAAACACAACAATGGGATTAGACTATGAGCACATGATAAAAGCGAGAGCACACAAGGGAGGGGTGAGGATAGGTAAGACACCTAAAGAATTAGCTAGCATTTGTTGCCCTTAACGCAGAGAAACTAAAGCAGATACCTTAAATGCAACTGAGGCCAATAGGAAAAGGGGAACAGGTACTAGAGAAAAGGTTAGATCAAAAAGAATTAACCTAGAAGGTAACACTCACGCACAGGAAATCAATGTGAGTCAATACCCTGTATAGTTATCCTTATCTCAACCAGCAAAAACCCTTGTCCCTTCCTGTTATTGCTTATACTCTCTCTACAACAAAATTAGAAGTAAGGGCAAAATAGTTTCTGCTGGGTATTGAGGGGGTGGGGGGCAGAGGGAGGGGGTGGAGTGGGTGGTAAGGGAGGGGGTGGGGGCAGTGGGGAGAAATGAACCAAGCCTTGTATGCACATATGCATAATAAAAGAAAAAAAAAAAAAGATCAATGCACAGCACACTGACAGAGCCAGTCTGACAAAGCAGTTCTGAGTTTTAAAACATTTAAAATAAAAAAATGTATGTTTCTGTGGGAGTCAAATCTGATAAAAGTGTGTTAAAGCCAAGAGAATACTGTTTTAAAAACTTAATTATTAAAGGTTTATTATTTGGGGAGTTTTGTTAAAATGACTCTAAGACTACTACATCACTAACAAATTGCCAGTTATCTAGCAGGGTCACTACAGCATTCTGGCCACAGGATGGATGAGAGTGAACTATTTCATGTGCTATCTGAATCTGGGACCTCAATTTACCTTCAAACTTAAATACTGAAGAAAATTTTTAGAACTGGTTGTGTGGATATGTGTATGTTATATTCTTAATGATCATGCCAAAAGAAAAGGAAATAAAAATATCAATAATTTTTTTAAATGTCCAGGCAATAAAAACAGACATTTTTTTTGGGGGGGGGGGTAGAGGATCAGGGAATTCACTGTGACAATTCCAAACAGGCTTTATATTGTCTGTTGGTTAGACTACCCCAACCACCTCCCCGCCTTGACCCCACCCCATCCCTCTTAAAGTAACTGCAAGAGGTTATATTGTTCTATTTCATATAGGTATATGAAGTCCGTCAACCATATTCCCTCACCTTCATCTCCTCCATCCACCACCCTCCCAAAAGTTCCCCTCTCCAAACTGTACCTAAAAAAAGACGTTTGAGCTGGAGGTATGGCTCCAGTAGTAGAGCGCTGGCCTAGTTAAGTACCAGGACCTTAATTCAAAGCTCAGTAGTGTAAAAAAACCCCAATACAAACAAAACATTTTGCCTTTAGAAGAACAATGAAATGATTCTGACACACCTGAAATTCATGATGGATTTTATGAATATATTTATATATCCGTTTGTGGTGCAGGAGTCTATGCAGGAAATAGTGCCAGGTGTCTTCAATGACCGCACAGCCAAAGCACCTCGCCAAAATCATACACCTGTAAGACGAAAGTATGCTAATGACTATGAAGTAACTTGTACTTAAATAATCCAGACATATATTTGGGATCATGGCTTGAGATATTACATAACCAAATACCCAGGTACCAACTTGACCTAGCTAGATATATTAATCAACAAATTCTTAAAACTGCTAGATAAGGCTACATGATATAATCTGAAAGATTATTTCCATTCTATTTTATTTAGCCCAAACTCCACGGGGGTAAAACCAGTTAAGAAAAATCTCAAAACTCCAAGCAAATAGTATTGATGGAGAACTTGAACTAAAATTAACAAACATACAGCCATCATTTTTGTACCACTGAAGGACCTAATGTAAATGAAATGACAAAATAATTTATGTACAAATGCACAAACAGATTCTTTTATATGATGAATATCCACTATGTAGAAAAAGTATACAGTCACTGCTCAGTACCTGTCTGTGGTGGGGGATGACTAGGTCCAGGACTTCCTGCATCTCAGATACCAAAATCCATAGATGTTTAAGTCCCATATAAAATAGTGCAGTATTTGTATGTGGCTGATGTACATCTTCATGTATACATTTTTTTTTTTTGGTGGCACTGAGGTTTGAACTCAGGACAAGTACTCTTAATCGCTTGAGCCACTCCACCACCCCTTTTTTGTAAGGGGTTTTTTTCAAGATAGGGTCTCAGGAAGTATTTGCCCAGGGCTGGCTTTGTACCATGATCCTCCTTGAACCATGATCCTCCTGATCTCTGCCTCCTGAGTAGTTAGGATTACAGACATGAGTCACCAGCACCCAGCTCTCTTGCATATTTTAAATCATCTCTAGATTACTTAAATACCTAATATACTGCTATGTAAATAATTGTTATTTACAATATATACTGCATTTTTTGTGAATAATGACAAAGAAAAATATATACGTGTTCAGTTAAATGCAATTTTTTTTGGGGGCGGGGAGGAAGGGAGTAGTACTAAGCTTTGAACTTAGGGCTTTGTGCTTACTAGACAGGTGCTCTACTGCTTGAGCCATACCTCCAGTCCTTTCTTTTCTGGTTATTTTTGAGATTGGGTCTTGCTTTTTTGTGGGCCGGTCTAGAGGATGATCCTAATTATGTTTCCTGCCACAGCTGGATGATAGACACGTGTCACCACTCCCAGCTTTTACTGGTTGAGACAGGGTGTCACGGACTTTTTTCCTGGGCTGGCCTGGAACTTCAATCCTCCCGAGTAGCTAGGATTAGAGGTGTAAACCATTTCATTGTGCCCTCCTGGAATTTTTGCTTTTTAAAAACCCTTCCAACTGTAGTTGGTTGAATACAGCGGTACAGAATCCATGGTTATAGAAGGGCAACTGTGTATGTATATAGTGACATCTATATTCACTTACATAGGGACACAGTCTTATAAGCCTCACAAACTATTATTTCATAGTTTTCAATCATTTAAACTTGAAATGTAATGCTTTTCCTTAGCATAATCACACATGTCCAAACTCAATTATAAAGGTTATTATAGAAAGTTTTGATACTAGAAACTTATCTCCCAATAAATTATAACATGAAAATTCAGAAAAAAAAAAAAAGGGACCATTTTAAGTTTCTACTATGGCTTATGTTTCTACTCCCTAGTTGCTTCTAAAATTTGGAACATTAGCCAAATGAAGAAAGAAAAAGATTAAACAAAATAATTTAATAGGGTAAAAACCATGGTTGAGTGTAAAAGCCAAATTTTTATCAACCTACCATCTTGGCATTCTTTCCCAATCATAAGGAATGCTGAAAAACTCCGTAAAATAATAGGTTCCACAAATCAAAGGCAGCTGGATACAAAAGTGATTAAATAGAAGTACTTTAAAGCATTTCCATTGGCCTTCCCATGTTTCTGGTTTATCCTATAAAAAAAATCACAACAGTTAGTATTAGTCTCTGTCATCAGTAGTTTATCTTGACAACTAGAGGTGAATAGCTAATTTTTTCTCCAATGTTTATAATGGATCTTAATTCTAGTTATATTGATTTTGTTTTAGGAAGCGAAGCTTGGAGTCACTTTCTTCTAAATTCTTAATAATTATTTTTGCTTCTTTAAATGGGTGAATAAATTGTTGACTGAAAAAGCCAGGCATGATCCAAAACAAACCAAAGAAGCAGAGCCTTATCAAAAACACTAAATTATTCATTTTAAAGTGCTGTACCTAGGTAAGAAAAGGTACTTTTAATTTACAAAAAGATGGTGATAATAAATATTAGCCATTGTTTTGTTTTATGTATCCATACTTAAACATTCTGGGATATGCCAATGAAAGTCTTTCCACTGAACCCTGTACCCAAAAGGTGGTAATCTCTGCTCTTCAGCAGAGGCTCAAGGACCACACAAGCAGGTATTTGGAGAACCTGAACTGACTCTAGGTCTCTCAGTATCCTGATGAACACAGGACAAGTCTCGAAGTAAGACCAATCCAGAGACCTGGTCTCTAACACTGACTCGCACTAACCAGCTGTGTCGCTCACTACTCAGTTCCCACAACAATGAGGTAAGGGGACTGGACAGGAAAATTCACAGCTGTCTTTGTAGTTTTGCTCTGAGTGTTATTTGACCCCACTCCTCCAAAGCTCTGTTCTGTGACTGTGGACAAAACAAACTGAAGATTCAGGCATGGGTTGGCAGTGACACTTCTAACTTCCTGGTTAGAATCTTGATACCCAGATAACTACAAAGGTGAGGGCGATAGGGATATAGTGGTAAAACACTAATGTATGGGGCCCTGAGTTTCATCCCTAGCAGCTCAAATAAAAGCAAAAAACAAAGCCAGAGCCAGGCAAGGTGATGCATGACTGTAATCCCAGCACTGGGGAGGCTGAAGCAGGAGAATTGGGAGTTCAAAAACAGCCTGGCTATATAGTGAGATCCTGACTCAAAAAAACAAAACAATACTTGGAAGGAAATCAGAAGGACTGCGATTCAGGGCTAGTCTGGGCAAAAAGTTAGAGATCCCACCTCAACAAATAAACTGAGTATTGGGATACATGTCTGTAATCCCAGCCATGCGGAAGGCAGAGGTAGCAGAATTGTGGTCTGAGGCTCCCCAGGGAAAAACATGAGACCCATTTGAAAAAATAACTAAAAGCAAAATGGGCTGGGGGTGTGACTCAAATGGTAAAGTGCATGCCCTGAATTTGAGCCCCAGTATCACTATACTGTTAATACATACATAAATTGGTTAAAAGGATAGTTAACAAGGAATTTGTGCCTAGTGCAACATAAAAGTTGACATATTCTAGCCAGCAGAAGTGGTGCATGGCTGTGATCCCAATTACCAAGAGATGGAAGCAGGAGGATCTCGAGTTTGAGGACAGCCAGGCAAAGTTAACAAGACTCTATCTCAAAAGCAAAATAAAAACAAAAAGGCTGAGGGCGTGATGCAGGCCCTGGGTTCAATCCCCAGTACCTCACCACCCGACACACACACAAGAAAAAGTTCATTATATATTACTATGATACTCATAACTGCACCCTAATATTAAAGAATACTTTCAATAGGACCATTGAATTCAGAAATGCTTTTAGTATGTATCTTGGAGGAAATTTTTTAGAGAATTATTAAAATGTACACCTTTAAAAAAAAAAGAGAGAGAGAAAAGAAATGGATCCTGCAATTTCTACTTTTTCATTCCCATAAAATTTCCTCTAGCTAGCAAGCAAGTGCAGTCACTGTCTATTCCATTTGAAAGCAGAAAGCCTGATTTAGTACTATTTCATCACCAGCTGCTATGGGTGTGTGTGTGGGGGGGGCGGATTTTAAAGATAAAAAGTTTAGTCTATGTGTTAAACTTTAATTCTCAAATATTTTATCTTAGAATTTCTGAAGCACTTGACAATACTCGCATCTTCCTGTACCATCAGCATTAACCAGAACAACCACCTTCAAAATACGTAATTCTTGGCATTGAGTGTGCACTGCGGGAAGAGAACCCAGGAAAATGCTCTAACACTGAGCTATAGTCTCAGCCCTTGTTTTCTTTTGAAACCTTTATATAGTGAAAACTTGTACCGATTGAACATCACTATTTCAGTACTAAAAAAGCTCAAAGCATGGACCTTGATGGACAACTTCAGGAAGACATGCTGAGCGCAGACTTGCAATCTCTGATTACACATGACCACTTGTAATCAACTACATTGTTGTTCTTTCTCCTGCCACGCTTCATCTCAATGCCACCCACAGGGCCAGAGCTCTCCTCTGTGGAATGGGTGCCACTATGTGTGACCAATGAGTCAACTGCAGAAGGCAGTGAAGAAGGAAAAGGATGCTCTGACCTGGCCAGTCTTACTATAAGCCAACCTTATAAATAAATCAGTGGTGAAACACAGCAGCCAGAGCCACCCAAGACTTGTTAGTACTCAAGACATCCAAACTGAATTCTACTTCGTAGGCACTTCAATAAAAAGCACCTTGGAACTTCTGTGACTTCAACTGAAAATGACAGTACATTCTCCCTTGGGCACACCCATTTTTATTTCCTCCTTTGGCATGGAGTCCATAGTGGCCTGACTCCCTGCATTACCACCAGGGAAGGGCAATGTTAGTATTAATTAAAGTGACTCACAGGGAAAGGCTCTGAAGCAAACAGATCGATGTGACAGTATGCATATGCACAGTGAGGACAGATCACTCTCTGTAGTGGACACTCTCAATTTCTACTTTATACCAAGACTGCATCCTTGAGTTTTAGTCAGGCATAACTTTTAGAACAATATAAACAGTGCCATTAAAAACTAGCTGGGAACGTAGCTTAGTGGTAGAATACTTGCTTAGCATGTGCAAGCCTTGGGTTTGAAACCCAAGAACCCTGAGAGAACAAAAAACTAAAATTATCACTGGTTTACCAAGTGCTGATAAGTCCTTTCTCTGTCTAGATGCTAGTTCTTCCTAGATCCATGTCAAGGTCACAGCCTATGTTCTCTCTATTCCTTGGTTTAAGAGACACCACCTTGCCATGTTTATAGTGGGCTCTCAAGAAACACTTAGAGCACCAAAGTGAATACCTAGCAAGTAGGTGTACCACCTTATTTGAGATGGCATGAATGCTGCCGGGGGAGGGGGGTGGGGAGAGAGGAGATAAACATTTAATAGCTCTGGTCAATGTCTTTGTTTATTAATACTCATGAGATTTGTTGGAACATCAGGGGTGGGGTAAAAAACAAAATAATATCCACAAAATCCCCACACCTTTCACTTCCAACTTTATTTTTTTGTGGTCTGTATGTGCATGAGTGCACACACTGAAGATTGAGCCCAGGGTGTCATGCAAGCTAAGTACACAGTCTACTTCTAAGCTACACCCTTCGTTGTCTAGCTAGTTTATAAATTATTTTATTATTTGTTTATTTATTTTTGTGGTACTGGGGCTTGAACTCAGGGCCTACACCCTGAGCCACTCCACCAGCCCTGTTTTGTAATGAGTTTTTTGAAATAGGGTCCCCTGAATTATTTGCCTTGGGCTAGCTTCGAACCACGTTCCTCCTGATCTCTGCCTCCTGGGTAGCTAGAATTTATAGGTGTGCCACTGGTGCTCAGATTAAATTAAAAATCATAAACTCAAATTAGATAAACATCACATCTTCTTAAAGTCTAATTTAACAAATAATTCCTGAAACATTATCAATAATGATCTAAGCCTGGGTTAGCACCAACTAACAACCCACGCTTACTGAACACTTTAAATCTAGATGTTGTAAAATATGCTTAATTTAAAAGACTTAGGAAAATAATATAAAATATCTCATTAAGCATATTTTTATTTTGATTACATGGTGAAACAATAGCTGAGATTTACTGAAGTAAATAAAATGTATTATGAAAATCCTCTAGTTTTTACTCTTTATGTATTCTAGAAAAATTTGAAACGTATCATGGCTTTGCTCTATTTCTATTGGATAGCACTAATTTAGAATCTCTCCAAACAAAGCTATATTGTCTTTTAGAACATTCAACAACACTAATGATAATATTCTATTTCGAGCTTGTCACACTCACCTTTTGAATTTTGTACTTTTTCATGTAGGGTATAAACTGGAATAAGAATCCAGGTATACAGAAGGAGAAATACAAGATTTCATGGACTATGAGGGACCCCCATGTCGCAATCTGGAACTTGGTGTAGTTACTCAGCATATAGTTCCAAGCAGCTTTGAATGGTCCTTGTAGAGGATTCTCTGGTAACAAGGAGTCCACGAACTCCACAGCCAGGGAAGCTGAGCTGAGGACGCCCACGCTTTCATTTGTTGCCATTTTTCAAATCTCTGAGGGCAGCCTGATAGTTCTGTAAAAAAAGGAAACAGATAAACTAAACCGTGAAATTCTAAAGAACAGCTGGAAAGTACATCTTCTGACAGCCTTAAGAACGACAGCTGCCAGAGTGGCTCAAGTGGTACAGCATCTGCCTAGCAAGCATGAAGTTCTGAGTTCAAACCCCAGTACTACCAAAAATAAGTAAATAAGACTGACAATTACTAAACAAGTTCCAATTTCTCAGACTCTAAACATGTGATATAATTCAAGGCCAACCTAGGTTACATAGTGAGACCCTATCTCAAACCTCCCCCCCAACCCCCACCCAACACACATACAATAAATTAAAATGCTTTCCTGCCTCTAAAACTGTCTTCTCATTCCATTCCACATAGGATATTAAGAAGCCTAGCTAATTTCTTCAGGTCTTTGAATTCACTTTCAGTCTCTATTCTTCTGTCCTGCTAATTCTCAAATGAGCTACACCAGAGACTGTAGTGATGCATCCTGTACTACCTTACCTAGTACTTTCTCTTTGTTCATTCATTAAGATGGGAACAGGTTTCCTGTGTTCTCATCTTGCCTCATCAAGAACTTGTCCTTTCCTTTCTTGTCCCTTCTCATTTTCTATCCTTCCCTCTTTACAGGGTCCATCACTCAAGTCTAAAAACCCATTCAAGTTTTCCTTCCTAGAGAAAAGCTTTCCTACATCTCAGTACTAGAGGCTGAAACAGGAGGATCATGAGTTCAAGGTCAGCCTGGACTAAGTCCACTGTGGCATTTCTTTATCTTTGAACCCACCTACTTCCTTATCAAAGGAGAACTCTACATAAAGTGCCAACCACTACCCCACACCCATTGGATGCCTAGCACTGGGCTTCCCACCCACACCAAGATGTTGTCAATGATCTTCAAAGTTGCAAAATAAGTTAATCATTCCAATCTCTATTTTTCTCGAGGTCATTACCAAATTTGAGTTAAACAAACACTAGTTCTGTACCCTTGAGCAAGTTACATAACCTGAACTGCATTTCTATTATCTGCACAATTCTTCCAATGAGTTTAAAGTCCTAGACATGGAAGCTGGCATACAGTACCTGCAAGACGTCAACAATAATCGAGCACTTGCTATGTGGGGTACCTATGCTCTACGAGTGCTATGTGCATTCTGCACTTTTACCTGAATCCTTATCGCGCCTTCATGAAGTAGATTAATTCTATGTGACCTGTCATCATTTTCTCATTTTCCATTTACTTTCTAGCAACTGCAACCTACTTTCTATTCTCATCACGGCACTGAACTTACCCTTATAAAATCACTAAGGATCTCCTAGCTGCCAAATTCAACATTCTTTGGACTTTACTTGTCCAATCTGGAAAAGTTGATAATTTCTGTCCCTGAAATTCTTCCATGATTCTTGGAATTCACTTGTATTCCTAGTAACAAATACTGAACTTGCACTTTCACTGTGCTAGCTGCTACCCTCACCCCTGACTTCCCAAAACATAAAATCTTGTGAGGAATCCAAAGAAGTAACCAATCCATCCTAAAATGGTGTGATAAGAACCAAATGGGAGAACAGAGAGCTCTAGGACACAGGAGCAAGGTAGTTTCTAGAGAAAGGTGCTATCTACATTGAGTCAGGAACAAGAAGGGCAGGTGATCAGATTCAACAAAGACTTGCACCTTCCGACTTAGCCTGTCTGTGGAGAACCTTTTGAGGATGGAAGACCAGAAATGAAGTTGGAAAGACTCCCAGTGATACCTCCCTAACCTCTTCCTAACTGTTCTACATTACCTTGGGTGATCACAGCTATTTCCCGTGTTAACAATACAATGTCCACGCTCTCCCCAAGCCTCTAGGTTCTGGTTATGTAATACTGGCCGCCCACACTTCGCTCAGACGCACGTCGCACAGGCACGGCCAACTCGACAGGTGTCCAGAAGTTCAGCAGTGCCTCCTCCTGACGCCTCTTACTTCTCTGCCTAAGCTGCGAGCTTAACCATCACCTGCTAAATTACTCGTCTCAGACTCAACTCACTCAAGTCTTCCAAGTCTCGGGTGAGAACGGCAGGATTCGGTCAACATTCCTGAGGTCCACTCTGAACTTCTCTTTGGCGGTCCTGAGGGTTGAACTCAGGGTCTCATGCTTGCTAGGCAGGCGCTCTACCAACCCTCTCCTACAGTTCTTCCGCACAAACAAGGAGGGACGTGGGGCATGGTAGGCTTCTTAAACTCTAAGACACATGCCGATGTGCGCAAACGTCAGTTCAAACACTCAAGGTAAAACGGCGCCTCCCGCAGGCATGCAGAAAGGCCGGGCCAGCCCCGGTCCACTCTTCGTCCCCACACTTCCCGCACGTCATCCTCCCGGCGCACAGAAGCCGCCCTGGCTGGCTGGCAATGCCCTCCTCCTCACCGACCCCCATCCATCCCGCGGTCACCTCCGAGGCCGCTCCCGACCCACGCCCCCGCCCCCGCACAGCGCAACACAGCTCAGCGCCCAGCTCTGCTCGTTTCTTTACGCTTCAGTGCCACCTCCCGGCGACGGGAAGCTCTTCAAAGGCCCAGCTCCATCACCTAAGAATTTCACTTTCCACCCATTTCCCCTCCGCCTAGCAGCAGCACGTCCCCTCCCCCGCCGGTACTCGAGCGTCGGTCACGGCGACTCCATAGCAATCGCTCCGGTGGTACCCGGCTTCTCCCCGCGCTGCGCGCGCACTCACACCCGACCCGCTCGCCTTGATCCCAAGGATCCCCGAATCAGAGCCCGCCCGTCCGCTCCCCGTTCCTCGCGCACCGGCCGCCTTGCCGGTCCCCTCACCTGGACCGTCGCGAGATGCCTAAGGTCCACTGTCAACCAACTCGGCCAGGTGCTGCGGCCTCAGAACCTAGCTCTCCCCGCTCGGGGTGGAGCCTAGAGGGCACGGCTGGTGCCTCCTTCCGTAATTGGCCTGCAAGAGCTCCCGCCCCGCCTCCTCGGCGCGGTGATTGGTCAGTGCTATTGCCGGCAGTGTGTGACTCACGTCAACGAGTCCCTGGCGGTCCCAGCCATTGGCTCCGAGGATGGAGTGATGATAGTGAGACTCAGGCGTTTAGCCAGTGGTTGACGCCGCAGCGCGCCTGGAGGCTGGGCTGCGCGGGAGCGCGTGACAGCGTGAGGGGGCGGGACACGCAGCGCCGCGCGCGCCGCTGGGCGTAGCCGTGGCAACTGGGACCGCGCGGACTCCCAGCCCGTACCTGCCCTGCGAAGCGGGAGCACCAGGTGGGACAGCCACATCGCGGAAACCTGCGGGAAAGTAGTACGAAGCAGTTTCTAAATGTTTTGAATGCACGGTGTTCGCAGGTTCGTCTTCCTCTGCCCTACCCTAGATCTAGATCTTTCTTCTACCTTGTTTTTCTGACCCGAGTGTCTACTAATTAAGTCCCCGAACGTCCAAGATGGAGAATTTGAATGCAATGTAAATCCTGCAACAACCCAAAGGAGTCGTTGCCATTACCCCTATGAAGCTCCGAAAGGTGACCTGTGACATAGACACTGGACACACTTAGCCTACAGCGCTAGGTTCCTATCGTTCCATCTCTTTAATTGTGTCATCGGGTATGATCACCCTGTGTACAGATGATGCGATACTGGGTGAACCTAAACTTTCTCCCAAGGGCACCATTTGGGCCAGTGAGGGCCCATTTTCACATTATCCCATCTTTATTAGGGTATAATTGATACACAAAATTTATAACTATCCACAGTGTGTAGTATGTTTTATTATATGTGTAAATTGTGTGAAGACCCTTCCCGTAGTGTCTGAAGACATCCTGTCCTTGTTCCTGTCCTCCAAGCCTCCACTTAGACTGGCTCTTAGGTCTGGCACAATCAGCCATCCCTTCCCCTCCATGTCACCTCAGGTGCCATCTCCCTGAGGAAGTCTGCTAGCGAGCTGCTTCCAAGACGGCCTGCACTAACATGCTGTAACTACTACACGTGTTTGGCACATACATTCTTGGTAAAGTACCATGGCAGACAGGTCATACCAAATGAAGAGAAATGGGACGCGTCCCTTTGATGGTCAAGGGCAGTCTGGTCTTTAGGGTGTCCATGCAAGGTGAACCCAGTCCTGTAGAGGACCCTGTGGTACACAACCAGACTCCTGCTCAGCACTTAGGCAGGTACTCCAGCTGCTGAGTACTACCAGACAGCCATTTCTTCCTAGGACACACATCTTGCCCAGTGGGCAGCCTGAGTCTAAGTGACTGGTTGATGCAGGGGTACGAAAGCCCAACCATTCGCCCCAATCTAGGACTTTGCTTGGCCATCCCAGTTCCATCCTGCCTCCTACTGGCTGAGAGTATGTATGACTGCCCAACTTTTCTCTCTTGGCAAACTTGCTGTCCTGCTAAGACCAGTAAGAACACCTGCTATGGGGCAGATTTACCAGACTTGACTTTAGTTATGTGCTCTTAGATACTGTACAGTATCTGACATATAGAAAGTGTTCAGAATCGCATACAAGTACTCAGTAAAGTGATGGGTGTTAACTCAGTGGTAGAGTGCTTACCTAGCATGAATGAGGCCCTGGGTTCTAGCCCCAGCACCACACACACACACACACACACACACACACACACACACACACACACACACACACACACACGTGCCCAGTAAATGTTATTATTTCCCACTTAGAATCCTACCACATAAGAAATTCTGATTTAGAGCAGATGTATCTATGAGGAGGCGTCCAGTTATTATTTTAAACCTTGGAGATTCAGAGCTGAACAGAAATACAGATATGGCAGTTGAGTTCATTGTTTCATGGAATTGAAGAAAGGGTAGGCTCAGAGAATAGCACAGATATTATAACTTTGAGGGCCCTCTGTATTTCCAGCCTAAAAGCATGCATTTCTTTCAAATCCCAGGATAACCGTGTGATATAACTACGGTTGTCACAAGGGTAAAAGGTTAAGTAATGTATTGATAGTCACAGCTAATAATTGGTCCAAGGGGATGCAAACCCAGAGCCCTCTGCTTTCTTTGCCTGTGGCCTTTCCAGTACACTATACTGTTTTCCCTTTGAAAATGTTAAAGCTTAGGGTTAGAATCCCAAAATCTGGATTGTAAAGCATAGGTCCATTCTCCTGGTTACCATCCTCTCCAAAATGAAGTACTGGCAGCCATATAAAGTTAGTAGGAGGCAATTTGCTTAAGATCAAACTTAAGTAAAGCAGCCTTAATACATTGCTATGTAATATTATGATGTCCTATATAACCAGCTCAGCAGCTGAGATTACAAATGTCAAGGTCCTCAAGTAATGACGGACAATAAGATGACAAATACTAGGAGACATATACTAGATCCTTTATGGAACAGGGAAAGAACTGAGTCTTCTGGCAGCATACCTCTCATCTACCTTAACTCTAGCCATTACTGCTTCCAGCAAACAAGGTACAGGTTCAAGCAAAGGAGGCAGGTATAAGGATCTAGCCTTGAACTCTGCTCAAACCTGGGGCTGCTTTCTTTTTAAAATTTCTAAATACCTCTCTACCTCAACTTCTCATCTCTTTTTTTTTTTTTTTTTTTTTTGTACAGTAAGAGAACAAGCTGCTGGGAATGCTTTTGTATGTTAGGGGAAAACATAAACCACAGGATGTTTCAAGCTGTAAAGACAAAAGTTGGCATGGGGGAGGGAGGTACATCGGAGAGATTACATAATTTATTGAGTCCAGCTACTGACAAATCCTAGCAAACTACTTCATGGTGTTAGTATTAAAACTTCAAAAAGAAAGTCAAGGTAAAGAGATGCTTGACATGCTAAGTAGTTCAGACCTCTAACAGACTTAGATACTTTAATAGCTTACATTTTTTTAGACAGATCTTTGATAATTTAGAAGTGTGGCATCATATGAAATATGCTCGGGTTTTGTCTTATTCCTGTCACAGCACTGCTAAAACCCGTGGAATTTGTTGAGTGACTGGAGTGTCTTGTTACTCAGTGGGTCCCTTTTGATCACAACCAAGTTTATGCTAGTAAGATGACAGAGTAGGGCCTTTCTATGCCCTGAGAATGGCACCCCGGCCCGAAAGACCAAGTGATTAGAGTATCAGAGGTTTAGAACTTTCATCCCCACCCGCCAACCTCTAGAAGGGGAAGGAGACTACAAAGCAAACTATGAAAACAAGAAGAGATGAGCTTCTGGACTATGAACACGTAGAGGTGGCGAGAGGGTATGAAAGCTCCACCCTGCCTCCCATACCTCACCCTGTCTGTTCCCGTGTCCTTGATTAAATATTCTCAAATAAACCCGTAAATGTCCTTCCCTAAGTTCTGAGCCGTCCTAGGAAATTAATTCAACTCACAAAGGGTCATGGACCTCTGGGTCGGAGTCTGTTGGTCAGTAGGCAGTATCTTCAATGCTAGCAACACACACACAACACAGACACACACAGACACACACACACACACACAGACATACACACACACACACACACACTGTGGCAAAGTGCTGAGAATGACATCTGATGTGGAGGCAGCTTTGTGAGGCTGAGCCTTCATCCTGTGGGAGCTGACAGTATTTCCAGGTAGGTCTCCAGACAGACAGTGCCAAAACTGAATTATAGGCTACTCAGTTGGTGTCCACTGGAGAACTGCTTGGGATTCCACACACATCTAATCACAAATGTTCTTTTATGACAGTATAAGAGAAACTGAGGTTTTCCCCCTGCTTTTACAGGAAGTGAGTCAAACAGCTAACAGCTCCAAGTTCATTCGACCCCCAACATGTTTGCTGCCAATGTGTTGGAAGGCACACTAATGAGGACACAGGACTTTTCTGATTAAATGCTTTCTGGTTTTGTTTATAATGGCAAGTTCAACTAAGTGATGTGGTTCCATTTAAATTTGAGTGGTCTACATAGAAATGTTATCATAGGAATTTTTCATCATGATTATCAACAGTTTTGCCAACAGCTCATGCTAGCCATTTAAACTCTTCTTCTGAGGAGTAGCTGCAATGCCTCACACCTCCTTTGCATGCCTTCCCTTCCCTACTGCATCCAGCACCTCAGCTGTCTACCCAACCCCCCAACTCCCATTGCTTCAATTCTTTTTATTTAATATTGAAAACATAATTTCTTAATTGCTTTAGAGAAGCTACTTTTTCCTTTAACTTTTTGTCTAGTGCTACTTGTCTTATCTTTATCTTGTATTTTGCACATTACAGGAGACAAGAGTAATAGAAAGTTTAAATTTTGCCAATCCTTATGACTTTTTCCTTGATGGCCGAAGTTTTTCTTGAAAAGCAATTTTTAGTTACTTCAGTGATTGATTTAATAGACTTATAGTTATTGACTTAATAGACTTACAATTTATTTTAGCAAGAAATCAAAAATACGGATTTGTGAAATTAGGGAGTGTAAATTTTATACAAGAACAGAAAGACTCAGTAAGCAACTTTCTTAATATCAAACTAAATAGATAAAAAATGAAGAACATTATGAAACAAATAATATACAAACTTTTATTCAAAGATAATTCAAGAAAGACATGTTTTGGTCATCGTTAAAGTAAGATTAATTGAAGATCTCAGAAAAACTGTATCTGATCAACACACATGGCTACTCACAGAAAGCTCTCTCTTCTGTTTATAGCAGGTAAATTTATACACGCAGAAAAAATTCTTAAGACCATGCAAATTCAGTTGAATTCCATATATTCATTATATTCATCAAAAACCTGCAGTTATGTTCATGCCAAAGTGTTACTTAAGAGAAAAATTAAGAACACACACCAAAACATGACCAAGATTAAACTAAAGAAAATAATAAATAAGCATAATTTATACTTTATTTAAAAAAGTTTGGCATCACACATGTTCAAGTGTGTTACACCATGTTCATTCCTCAGAAGTGGCATTTTAAAGTGTTAAGCATTGTTAAATATCAAAAAATACAACTCTGTTTTACAATGTAGGACTGGCATAATTCAAAGTACTGTGCCAATTATAAATAGTATAATCAAGTTTCAAACATCTTTAAAGGAAAGCATATAGACACACATTTATATGCACACAATTTATTATATCCATGTAATCAAAGATACTTATAAAAGCAAACAGTTTTATCCCTTGACTACTTTGTATACTTACATAGATTTTAATCTGTTCAAAGATTTTCAGTTCCTGGGTATACAGATTTTCAGGAGAAGGAATAAAGATGAAACTTAATTACAAGAACACACATTAACTTCATCCTCCTCCACAAAGTAATCCACAGTCATTCAAGGCTGATAAGAACTAGTCTTTATGAAAGCAACTGTTGGCTAAGGACTACAGAGTCAGTACTGCAGTCCAGGTTTCTTATTAAGTCAGTCAGCTGCTGCTCATTGCAGAGAAAGCCTACACGGTGCTTCTACCAAAAATAATCTTCAGTATCCGAGGCCTCTAAAGGCAGACGATCTTATCTTCTGCTGAGACTTAAAGTGCAGCTGCAAGTGCAGAAGTGCTAGATTCTCAGTCACTTCGGAAATGCTTGAAGCCTGTTTCTCAGGTATAAATATGCCGAAAATGTCCTTCAGGCTCATAATGGTTTATCAATAACTGTGACCCCTGAGCAAAGAAGTGAAATACAACAGACATCACAGGCAGCATTCTGCATCGCTGAGAAAATACTGAATTCAGTATTATTAAACCCACAGGGACTGAACCACACTGTTTCAGAATCTCTTCCTTATAGTAGTACAGTAGTACCACCATTTAAATCTAAATGACAGTGAACTGTTTACTTCTGAACCAAGTCTGCATCACATTATTTAATCCAGAAATAGTCTTTTGATCTATGTACTTACTATTTGAGGGAAGTAACTTTACTCAGAATATACTAAGATCCACTCAATACTCAATGAAGCAGAAAGAACGTTGGAGCATCATGGATATGTGCACCATCCTGATTTGAGCGATGGCTTCAGGAGGATACATATGTCAAAAGTAACAAAACTGTACACTTTAAAATACACATTATTCACTCTATGTCAGTTATGCCTAAATGAACTTCATGTGAAAAGTTCACTTCATGTTGAGTCATGTTGTAGAGTCCTACTGTATGTAGTTCTTTATGAAGTGTTGTTTAGGAGGACATATAACAAGGATGGTTAGTAGAATAAACTTTTTCTGTGCTATTGAATCAACTGTGTTACAGAAACATTCTAATATTTAAAAATATCAGAATAACTAGTATACAATATATAGTTTTAAAGACTCACCATTATATACATTAAAAGCTATTATCATTTCTCTCACTAATAGAGTGGACCAAAAATTACATAATTTAACCAATGGGATACTTAAAGAAATATCACTCCACAGTTTTACTAGGACACTATCTCACGGAGCCTGGCCATGGGAAAAGTTGTGAGGTCACACTTCTTGGCCACCTGGGGAATTAAAGCCTTGCCATATAGTGAATTCCTCTCCATACAAATTTCAGTCAGATTAAAATTTATTATGTAATTCTGTACTGCAAAAACTTGGGCTTGTTACCATAAACAAATGCAGAATGGCAAATAATACTGGGGTTTGAACTCAAGGCATCACGCTTGCAAAGTAGGCATACTATTGCTTGAGCCACACCTCTAGTCCAACCTGCTTATTTCAGGACATGTGTAGTAACTGTAAATTATTTTAAGAATAAAATAAAATTTACTTTGAGAAAAAGACTTTCTTCTTAAAACAGGAAAACTTGTAAATCATAATGATGTGTTTTTTGTATTACAATAGCCGACTAAAAATTGAGACAATTATTACCTGCATAACTTCTCCCTGTGCTCATACAAGATGACACAACTGTCCACTTATCTGTCGTTGGGTTATAATATTCTACTGATGCCAAGTTACAGGAGCCGTCATCCCCTCCAACAACATATAACAGGCCATTAACTGCACAAACTCCTTTAAAAAGATCACACAGAGAGAAAACAACTATTTAAAACCTTTGGATGAACATGAACAACACTGCACATGTTTGGTGAGGTGATGCAGAGAGATTTCTTTCTTTGAAAGGCGGCAGGGAGAGAAGATGACAAAGATTCAGAGAGTTCCTTTTGCATGTTAGAGTCTAATTCCACTTCTAAGCCCTTACTGCATGCCTCTTGTTCAGTAGTCATTTTACGTATGCATTATTTCATTTAGTCTTACTTTATAGGCTCATCTTCATTTTAATTAAAAAATAGAAAGTTCAAGGACAAAATACTGCTAACTCTCCCAAAGTCAGCTTCTAAGGGAATCTTAAGAGGAAAATATATACCAATAGAAGGTAAAGATTATTCTTTTTGATTTTATACTGAATAGTTGGCTACTTAATTTCCTTTAAAAGAACAGTATTCCTTATCTGTTCACTAGAATAACTCATTTGTTTTTGCAAAAATCAATAACTATTAAAATTATTATCGCTACTTTTTTAATTTGCATATAACAGTTGTACAGGAGGGAATACTTTGTGACATTTATGTATGTGCTTACAATATATCTTAATTGGATTCACTCCCTCCATTGTTCTTTCTTATCCTCCCACCCCCGTTCTTAGAAGCATCTCAGTAAGTTTCACTGCTCTATCTTCATACACTAATGCAAAATACATCCACCATATTTACCTGTTAACCCTCCCCCATTCCACCTAACCACCCTCAGACAGAACCTGTTTTCCCTTCTGTCCTTCTTATTTTAAGTGTATACTGATTGTTTAGAGGGGGTCCACCTTGGTATTTCAGACATGGATGCATCATGCTCTAATTAGATCAACCCCTCACTTCTATCGCCCTGTTCCCCACAGTGCATTACACTATCCTATCCTCATACACAGATGCAATGTGTTTCAAACTCTCTATTATTCTCTTTCCTATCCCACCTCCCTGTTGTCCCCTCAGACAGAACTACTGCAGTCATGTTCTGTGTGTAGATGTATATAAGATCATATATGTATTTGTGTGTACATTTAACTTATAGGTCTAGCTTACACATGAGGAAAAACATGTGACCCTTGTCTTTCTGAGCCTGATTTCACTTAACATGATGATCTCCTGTTCCATCCATTTACCTGTAAACGACTTCATTCTTCTTTATAGCTGAATAATACTTCATTTTGTATTATATACTACAGTTTTTTTAACCCAGTCGTCAGTTTGTGGGGCATCTGGGTTGTTTCTAAAGCTTGGCTATTGTAAATAATACTGCAATAAACATGGATGTACAAGTGGCTATTATATCCTGACTTACATTCCTTCAGTTAGACAGATGCCCAGGAGCGGTGTCTTTGGATCACATGGCAGTTCTATTTTTAGTTTTTGGGGGGACCTCCATACTGCTTTGAATAAGGTTACAGTAACTGACATTCCCACCAACAGCACAGAAGTGTTCCTCTCCCCCACCCCACATCCTCACCACCATATGCTGTTTGTGTTGATGATAGTCATTCTAACATTATAACAGGAGTGAGGTGGATCTCAATGTTGTGTTGATTTCTATTTCCTTTACAGCAAAGAATGTTGAGCATTTCTTCAAGTATTTTTTGGCCATTTGTACTTCTTTTGAGAACTGTCTGTTCAGTTCATGAGCCCATTCAATAGGTGGTTGGTTTTTGTAGGGTTTTTTGGGCGGGGGGAGGGCAGGCTCACTGTGTATTTTGGTAATTAATCCCTTGTCAGATATATAGCTGGCAAAGAATTTCTCCCATTCTGTAGCTGTCTCTTGACTCTGTTGACTGTGTCCTCTGCTATCAAGAAGCTTTTTAGTTTGATGCAGTCCCATTACCAGTCCTTTCCCTTAATGCCTGGCTACTGGAGTTCTAGTCAGGAAGTCATTACCTATGCCTATATGTTCTAGTGTTTTCCCTAGTATTTCCTACAGTAGGTGCAGTTTCAGACCTTACATTAAGATCCTTGACCCTGCTGGGCACTGGTGGCTCACCTCTGTCATCCTAGCTACTTAACAGGCAGAGATCAGGAGGATCTCGGTTCAAAGCCAGCCCTGGCAAATAGTTCCCAAGACCCTATCTTAAAAACCCCAACATAAACAAGAGCTGAAGCAGTGGCTCAAGTGGTAGAGCAGCTGCCTAGTGAGTGTGAGGCCCTGAGTACCTCCAAAAAAAAAAAAAAAAAGATCCTTGATCCACTTTGAATTGATAAAGTAAGAGACTGGGATCTAGTTTCAGTCTTCTACGGGTAGATATCCAGTTTTTCCAGCACCATTTATTGAAGAGGCTGTTTTTTCTCCAACCCATGTTTTGGACTCCACCCAAGAAAGTTGGGACACTTCCCCATGCTAATAAATATCTATACAATTTTAATGGCTGCACAGTATACCATTTATACACTACAATTCACTTATTTCTCTTTTAACTAATGGATATTTAGTTATTTAAGGTTTTTGCCACTCATCAGTGATGGTGCAATAAAACAAGGATCCCTATGAATACTTTTTTTGAGTACCTGAGCAATTATTTAATATAAATTTTTAGAAAGAAAATTGCTACATCAAAAGGTAAACACCTAGTTGAATGTGGTGGTACATGTCTGTAATCCCAACACTCAGGAGGCTGAAGCAGGAGGATCTTGAGTTTGAGGCCAGTCTGAGCTATACAGCAAGACCCTGTGTCTCATGATCCTCCTGGCTCAGATTTCTGAGTATTGGGATTATAGGTGTGTGCCACCACCAGCTTCTTTCCTCTACTCTTGATGTCATAAGTTACTATTTGAAATCTGACTTATAAGTTGCAAATTCTAATTTATATGATGTTCTCAGCTCTCCCTATTTATGATTGAACACATGTCCTTGCCAGCTGAGTCCTTGCTTCCAAATCTAGATGCTTAGATGAAGTCTTTATCCAAGGAAGGGCTGGACAAATATGAGAAGTTTGTTTCACACTGTAAGAAATATTATATATTGAGCTTATATAAAAATTAAAGAACATTCAGTCAGATTATATTGTATCTTATAGATTATATCAATTCTGTTATTTGCATAAAAAATAAATGTACTTGCTGGGCATCAGTGGTTCCACCCATAATCCAGCTACTCAGGAGGCATAGATCAGGAGGACTGAGGTTCAAAGTCAGCCCAGGCAAGTAACTCACAAGACCCTATCTTGAAAATACTCAATACAAAATAAGGGCTGGTGGAGTGGCTGTAGTGGTACGGTGCCAACCTAGCAAGCTTGAGGCATGACTTCAAACCTCAGTGCCACCAGAGAAACAAAATAAAAATAAATAAATAAAAATATACATGAAAAGGAAAAACTAAAGACTAAGCTTTCACATTTCCCTTTATTCCTGATGATTACAAAGAAATAAAGTTCAATTAATTTGCCCAAATCAAAGTATGGAAACAACTTTCAACAGACTTAGGACAAGTGTTTTTCCTAAATGCTACACTACCCCACAAAATTTTTCAAAAAGCAGGTTACTGGTAGTTCTCGGTATACTAATTGTCTTCTCATTCTTGTTAAAACAAATATGCTACTTTGATTTGAAAACAACAAACATAGAAAACATAAGACTATTCCAATCTTTAGGAAAATAATGAGAGCTCAAGTTGTCAGTAAGTTTCCTAATTATGAGTCATACGCACATATCACTATGGGTTTTTTTTTTGTGTGTGTGATGTTGGAGACTGAACCTAAGACCTTACATATTACTCAAATGCTCTAGCACTGAGCTACATCCCCAGGCCCTTGCTGTGGTTTTTCTAATTCAGTATATACTGAGTCAAGCACTTATTCCACTAATGCCCAGATTAGTGGGTCTTACTAGGGTTCTAGATCATCTCTTGCTGAGAGCTTTTGGCAACTCATCAAATACAACTGACTGCTAAAATACAAGGTCAAATAGTTAATGATAAATTCTGCTCTTCTGTTCATAGTCCTTGCAGTCCCAGGTAGTTAGTGTTCCTGAGTAGTGACATCTATAAATAAAAAATAAGGGCATTTGAGGAGGGGAGGGTTCATCTTGCAACATAACCCATTGGTGTACGGTGAGTTTCAGAATCATCAGGAACTTATTTTAGACTACAGAAAGTGGCATGAAGATAATGGTGTTTTGAAGACTAGCATTTCCCAAAGTGTCATCAAGCTACCCTAACTCTATTTTCCGTGGATCCTTAAGTATGGCAATATGCCACACACCTATGTTTTGGTCAACCATGGACCACACATATAGTAGTTATTTCATAAGACTATAATGGAACTGAAAAATTCCAGCAGCCAACCTAACTAACATCATAGCTCAACTCACTATTCATGTGTCTATGGTACATAAACATATTGTGCTACCAGTTGTGTAAAAATACAGCACAATTATGTACACTACAGAATCCTTGACATTAAACAATGTTACTGCTTTATATACTTTTTGTACTATACTTTGTACAGTTACTTTACAACGTAGGTGTACCCCTTCTACTGATAGAAGAAAAGCTTACTGTAAAACCTTGTGTCATGTTCTGCAGGCTCTTGTGTTTACTGTGTTCTTTATTGCGTCAACAGGCTACCTAGAATGAAGGACTTGTAACATTTCAGGTTTGTGCAAGTACACTCTGTGATGTTTCACAATGACAAAAATTACCTGGTGATGAACTATCAAAACATGTCCCTGTCGTTAATTTAGACACATGACTGGTTCTCTAATCTTGAACACATCCATGTTCTTAAAATTTGTTGTTGTAGTTGGTCAACATTTCCATTTTGTGGAAATCTTGAACAGCATTAAACTGAGTTACCTCTTCAGGCTTCCCCTCCAGATTCAGATCATCAACGAGCCTTTTAACTTGGTGTAAATATTTACTCAACTAAACAAATTCCCTGAGAACTGAACTCTAGTATGTAATGTGTGGTAGGTACTCAAAAATGTTTGTGGACAGTGGAGTACATCAGTAATCCCAGCAAATCAGGAGGGGAAGACTGAAGGATCATGGTTTAAGGTCAACCTGGGCAAAGGTACTGAGATCTTATGTCAAAAACAGGCAGGCATGCTGGAGCACACATATAATCCAGCTACTTAGGCAGCACAGGTAAGAAGATCAAGGTCAGAGGCCAACTCAGGCAAAAGCACAAAACTTACTTTGAGAAAACAAAATAAAAGCAAAAGAATAAGGGGTGTGGTTCAAGTAGTAGAGCACTGGAGTGCAAAGCCCTGAGTTCAATTCTGTTACTGCCAAAAAAAAATTTGTAGTAAAAATTCAATCATCAAATAAGGAGGGTGGTACCCTGGTCAACTCATCTCTATGCTCATCACCAAAAAGTGGCTATTAGTAGAAATTGTAAGTTAACTAAAATATTCTGCAACATACTTACATTCCACATAGTATGTTAGGCATTCAGTTTGTTTTTGTTTGTCTGACTGATTGATTGATGCTACCGATCAAACTCAGAGCCTTATTCATGGCATGCAAGCACTCTATCACTGAACTACATCCCCAGCCCTAGGCATTTACTTGATAGATTTCTTATACAAGTTTCTACTTCAAAGACCTCAAAGTCAGGGAGCCCAGATGAACAAAAGAACAATGGAAATAGTAAAACATCTTTAAAAATTCAATACAGGGCTTGGGGCATGGCTCAAGTGGTAGAGCACCTGCCTAACGAGCACAAGGCCCTGAGTTCAAATCTCAGTACTGCAAAAAAAAAAAAAATCCATGTAAGTTTTACAATCTTAGGCTGGACAGATACCTGCATTTCTTCTGCACATGTTCATATCTGCAACCTGTCTCCATGTGTTGGAGGTGGGATCATAAACTTCAACGCTTTTCCGTACTAAAGGGCCGTCATGACCTCCTACAGCATATAATAAGTTGTTTAACACACCAACACCTATAAAACACAACCAACCAAACTACAGTAGTGCAAAAGGGACAAGACATTTGTAACACACTAGGGGTTACTCAAATGTAACTAAAATTTAGAAAATTATAATAAAAGTAATCAACATTAAAGCATACAATTTAATAAATGGAAATGAACTCACAAGAATCTCAGTTAAGAACTATTATTCTAAAAAAAGGCAAGTCAGGCAGAATAAAAACAATATGTAGGAGAAAAGAGGGTGAAAGTTATTTAATATAATCCTTTTGAAAACAGCTTCCATAAGAAATCAGTACCACAGAACATACAATTTATAGGACATGGATGTAAAGTCTGAATTATTAAACGAGTTCCCAAAGAAGCATTAAAAACAAAAAACTAAAAGAAATGAAAACAACATTGTATAACTGAAACAGGCCTTTTACTATAACACTTAGAAATTAACTTTTGCTTTGTAGTAGTGCACAGAAGTGCCACCTACCACTACTTGCACAATTAAATGACATTTAGTAGTGACACTACTGCCAGCATATATTCTCAGATAACTTACAGATGCTGATGAATCATTTCACCTGTTTAATGATTTTCCATCATTTTCAGGCTTCAACTGCTAACTGGGGTTCACGTTTACCTGCTCCACTCCGCCTGGTGCTCATTTCTGCTATGTAGGTCCACTCGTTTGCTGTAGCATTATAGCATTCTACCGTGCTAAGACACTGCCGTGAAGCTCCGTCATAGCCCCCCACAGCATAAAGCAAGCCTAAACATGGAATCACAAAAAAAGCCAAATTTTTTAAAAGCCTATTTTTTTAGTCTATATAGTCTTTTCAAAACTGTACTTCCTCCACAATAGCAGAGTTTCCCCTTAAAGTGTTACTGACTTTTTATAAAATACATTAAGTTCTTGCCTAATGGTGACGGGTGGACTGGTCAGATCACATGAAGACCTGAAGGGTATATACGATGATGCTAATTTTACATTTTCATCAGAAATCTGGCAGGGTACAAGAAGTATACTCACTATTTCTTTAGATAACACTAATTTATACGTGAATAACAGCGTAAAAAACAAATATCCAAGTTATCTTAAGTAAACCGGAGGGAAAAAGCTAAATTGAAAGTTAGTATCAGAGGTCTGGGGGCATGACTCAAGTGGCAGAGCATCTGCCTGGCAAGCGCAAAGCCCTGAGTTCAAACCCCAGCACAACCAAAAGTGAAAAAAAATTATCAGAATGTAGTGGAATGAAATATTATCTAGCACAAAAAGCAATAAAGCTACATCATGGATGACAATGAAAATGTTATACTGAGAGAAACAGTCACAAGTATCACATACTGTGTGATTCCATTTATATGAAGTGTCCAGAGAGAGAAATCTGTACAGTGACAGAAAGTAAATTAGTGGTTGTTGAGGGCAGGAGAGAATAGGGGTAACAGCTTTTTGGGGTGTAATAATAATGCTCTAAAATGAATTGTGATAAAATGTACACAGAATTATATGACTTAAATGGGTGAATTATATGGCATTTGAGTATATCCTCAATAAAGCTGTTTTGTGTTTTCAAATACAAAGAATTATACTCAGTGAGGAAAGAATGGAACCTACCAATTTGCATAAGCCAGTATTAAAAACAAAAGACAAAAAATAAAATACACCAAAGAACAATACTAGCCAGGTACCTGTGGCTCACACCTATACTACTAGCTACTTGGGAGGCTGAGATCAGGAGGATCAAGGTTGAAGGCCAGCCCAGGCAAGAAAAAATTTGTGACACTCCATCTCAATGGAAAAAAGGTTGGGCATGGTGGCATAAAATAGGAGGATCCTATTGTACCCAAGCCAGCCTGGGTAAAAAAGTGAGACTCTAGCTCCAAAATAACCAGAGCAAAACAGGCCAAAGGCATGGCTCAAGTGGTAGCAAAAAAAACAAAAACAAAACAAAACAAAACAAAAAAACCTGTTAGGGAACAAAGTAAAATAAATAACTATAGCAATCCTTTTCTTAAATGTTAAACAGTCCTTCTCTGGATGCAAAATTTTGCCTGTATGTCACCTGATTGGGTTTCCCCAACAACTACATTAAGAGCAGCTGACAGGGAAGACTTGTCCAGCACGCATGAAGCCCTAGGTTCAATCCCCAGAACCAAAAAAAAAAAAAAAAAATCACTTGATAATCTTAGATAGCAGATACATGCACAGAGAGGGAGAAGGAAGAGGACACAGAGAGAAAAAAGGGCCTTATACAGGTTATTAATTTATAGAGACAAGAAGGTAATTAAGAATTTATAGTAATTCTTATTTTTCCTTTGTAAATGATGATTTGCTTGCCCATTAAGTAAGCATTTAGATTACTGAAGAACTAGTCTCCTCGTCAAGCAGCCAGTGTACCTGGAGAATACTGGGGTACCTACCTCCCACAACACCCACGCCAACACTGCTCCTCCTCGTGTTCATGGGAGCAACATGAAACCACTCATTAGACTTGATGTTATATGCTTCCACAGACGATAAGCCTGCAAAAAAGCACAATGCCCTTCATTTCCTCCTCTACAAAAGCCCATTGTTCTTTTATATAAACACCATTAAGGAAAAATCTCTCAGGTATTTTACAGTGGGCTAAAATTCAAAGGAAATGGTGGAATACAAGCACGTTAATTACAGGATAAATAGGAGCAGTTTCTGTTCCAGAGGCTCCCACCCAAACTCCTGTCACTTACATGATATTTCAACTTGGTAAGGTGACACAATGATGCATAAGAAACAAAATTTATATGTAGATCATTTCAAGAACTTCTTCATGCAATTTTAAAACACCTTTAAAATACCTGTTAAGGCACTCAAATGTGCCCTAATTTTGCCATGCTATGTCCAAACACGTGGTTACTATATTGTAACAGCAATGTAGAAAGGATAAGAAGCAAACTACCTGTGCTGCCATCAAAGCCCCCTACTGCATACAACAGTCCATTTAGCACAGCAGCCCCCAAAGTGCTTCTCCGGTCTCGCATGTTAGCAACGCTGCTCCACTGGTCTTTCACAGGGTCGTAAGAATCGACCGTGCGAACTCTTAATGAGCCATTAAAGCCACCAACAGCAAAAACAAGTCCAGCCATATACACCATCCCTGGAAAAAAAAAATGCAGCTTTTGATGACAACTATACAACCTGACTACTACCACAACTGAAGACTGCTTTCCCTTAAGTCTGTAGCTGTTAAAGACCATGTAACTCTTAGGAGAGTCCTAGCTGAATAGGTCCTCAAACCGCTGTTCATTTGCAAGGATATCTAATCACAAGTGAACAATGGAGTGGCCAAAGTGGTAGAGTGCTGGCCTAGTAAGCATGAGGCCCTAAGTTCAAAGACCAGTGCTGACAAAAAAAAGAAAAAAAAGCGCACAATGATGTGTGTGTAAGTTCACTGAGGCACTGTTTATAGTAACATAAGATTAAAAATAGTTTTAATGTTTAATTAAAAATTTGTTGCCCTTAACACAGAGAAACTAAAGCAGATACCTTAAAAGCAACTGAAGCCAATAGGAAAAGGGGACCAGAAACTAGAGAAAAGGTTAGATCAAAAAGAATTAACCTAGAAGGTAACACCCACGCACAGGAAATCAATGTGAGTCAATGCCCTGTATAGCTATCCTTATCTCAACCAGCAAAAACCCTTGTCCCTTCCTATTATTGCTTATACTCTCTCTTCAACAAAATTAGAGATAAGGGCAAAATAGTTTATGCTGGGTATTGAGGGGGTGGTGGGGAGAGGGAGGGGGTGGAGTGGGTGGTAAGGGAGGGGGTGGGGGCAGGGGGAAGAAATGACCCAAGCCTTGTATGCACATATGAATAATAAAACAAAACAAAACAAAAAACTAGTAGGGCTGAGGTGTGGTGCAAGAGGTAGAGAGCATCTGCCTCACAGGCTAGAAGCCCTGAGTTCAAACCCCAATATCTCTGTCAAAAACAAAAACAAAAAAACCTCATGACCTGGGGGTGTAGCTTAGTGGAAGAGTGCCCAGCCAGCAGGTGTAAGGTCCTACAACTCAAAAGCAAAAATGAGTAAAATTATACTACATCTAAACCCAAATAAGATACTAGCCAATGCTGTGTGTGGGCTGCGGGGGGAGGGGTTGAATCCAGGGCCTCACACATGCTAGGCAAGCATTCCCTCATTGAATTAAACCCTGAGCCCTACACAACTCTTCAAGAATGAAGTAACTCTAGGTATGCTGACCTGAAACAATCTCCAAGATGTTTACTGTGGACGTGCTACCATTGTACAAATGTTCTGTTATGTTTAGAATTCATTTCACTATGGGAGACAGAAATTATGGAACCACGTTTAAGTCCCAGGAAGGATTCTCAACATTTACAGTGGCTTCTTCTGATGCTGTTTTGCCTAAATAAGATCTATTCCAACAAATGTCTGTGAAACAGATGCCTGGATGAGGACAATGTGGTCTTATAGTTGAGTCAGACATCTCCTAGAACGAAAGGGTCCCAAGCTAAACAATGCCCCTCTCAACACTTCATCAAGGTACCCAAGAAAATGTTCAGCAGATTGCCAACTCCTGCTTACACTAGAGGATCAGGACATATAGGGGAAGACACAGCAGCTGTTCCTATTAATGTCTTAATGTGAGCTGTATGAGGCCTCTCTGAATCACTTTAAACACAGCTATTTCAGTGGAAGCTTTTCTAATAAGACACTTTCAAATAAACTAAGACCAGAAAGAGACACTCTCAAAGATCCAGCAGTAGAGAACTGGCCATGATGCATCATGCTTACCTGCCCTGCACCTCCTGGAAGGCAATTCTGCCACTTGGTGCCACCGTTCTTCTTTAAAGTCATAGCATTCCACACTTCGGATGGCCTTTGGTGCCTGGCCCCCAACCACCACCATCAACTGGAAGGGCAGAAATGTAAGTGCTGGAGCGAAAAATCTATTCAGAGATTTATAATGTCCTACAAAGACATTGGTGTGGGGAGTCTTAGGATGAAGATGTAGGGTAGGATGGGGGAAACAATCACCTAAACAAAATGTAATAAACATCAACAAGGGGAGGGGTAATGACACGTTATAGAAGTACGATTCTATAATCTAGCACATTTAGTCAAAAATAAGGATTTCAGAAACTATAAAGTTTCTGATCCTTTAAGCAAAAGCTGTATTTAAGCCAAAAACAGCAGGCAGTCAGCACTGGCAAGGCTGCAGTGTGTCAGGCTTGCTAAAAACCAGATTCTGGCTTTGCAATGAATGACCAGGGATTAGATCTTCACAGTCTAGAATAGGCAGAAATTAAATTTATGTTATTAGGTAGGTGAGGTGAAAAGGATAGTAAGGTATTAAAGGAAACATGGAAAGCAGGGGTATCATAAAAGGGGGAACAACTGAACTGGAGTTGACAGCACAGATTCCTAGATCTCGAGGACAGAGATGCCCCCGCCATGCCCTTCAAATAAAACAACCAAAAGGACAAATAATGGAGATTCTAGAAAACGTAATGAACAAATGCACTCCTGAAAATAAATCAGGTCTACACGTTTCCTTAATTCAGTCCAGAACCTATGCTAGCTAGTTATTATACACAAGAAATTAACATGGTCTCTACCCACCAAGAGTTTATAGATCTCACTAAGAAAACAAGTCCCATGAAGTAATTAAAGAATAAACAATTATATATGATTAATATAACATTAATTGCTACCGCTGATCAGAAAATGAAAAGCTGCTATAATTCAGTGAAAATTTCTACAGGGGGTGGAACTACAGGGCCTTGAGACTTGGATGGAATTTAGAAGCCAGTGTGTTTGTCTTCTTCTGAGTATACAGCTGTCAAATCAGAAAAAGCATCATGATTGTGTCTTCCATGGAAAACTGTAAAGAACAGCAAGGAGAAAAGATGAGATGATGCCAGGTGCTGGTGACTCATGCCTGTAATCCTCATTACTTGGGAGGCTGAGATCAAGAGGATCACGTTCAAGGCCAGTCCAGGCAAATAGTTTGCAAGACCCTGCCTCCAAAATAACCATAGAAAAATAGACTGCAGGTGTGGCTCAAGCCATAGAGCGTCTGCTTTGCAAAAAAAAGATGATAGGAACGACAAGATATTTAAAAAGAAAATTAAAACAAACAGAATATGGAGTAACTCATAAACACAAATAGGGTTTGCAATCTTCACTGAGCAATGACCTATCTGTAGTTAGATTACAAAAAGACAGAAACACAGAAAATATCACTGCTGAATCAGAGAAAATCCCAAGCCTCCACAAAGATACCTATGTTAATTATTTAGTAACTACAGAGCAGAAAGAAATCTTAAAGGTCCAAAAGAAAACTGAACAGACCAAACATACAATTTATTTCAGGTATGTCATTTTTCTACTGCTAAATTCAAATAAATAAAAGGAAGAATTAATAAAGAAAATCCACAATAATAACTTCACCTTCTATCACCAAAAGAAAAACACAGGAGGAGCAAGGTTGTTTAAACCACAGAACTAGAATTCACATCAAGATCAGTCTTACATTTACAGATCTAAGTTCAAAACTTAGATCTAACATTAGATCTAAGTTAGATCTTACATTTACAGATCTAAGTTCAAAACTTAGTGTAACTTGAAGTTACACTATATCAAAAGTCTTAAATACTGTATCTGACAAAGATCAATTTTTAAAACTTGCAGAAAAGAATACATTTTTTTGAATCCTTGAGAGACAATACTGATTTACAGATTTTATGATAATCTGAAATTCTGCATCTCATGATTTCCAGGCAACAGTCTGCACATCAAAAGGAAGAAGGAAGAGAAAATATGGTTACTACAGAACAGTAACAGTTGTTCTTTACTAAACCAAGAAAAGCAGGGTGTATGGGACTGGGGACTCCAGCAATGAGATGTACAATGGGAGGGCAGGAGAGCAGGGTCAAAGATGAAGAAATTGCTAACAACTAGTGTTGCAATCAGCAAGGAGTTGCTAAATGCTGACACCCACTTATCTGTGAGGCACCCGATCTCACTTGAGAAACTCCACACTGCCTACGCTTAAAAGCATAAAAAAGGAAAAAGAAAAAGGGAAGATCTTTATGTAGGGAAAATAAATGTAACACTGGAAGAATGCAAGGCATAGAGTCAGGTGAATTCAAGTAACCCTTCTGAAATGTATGCCAATTAAACTTTGTTCTTTTTATTTTCTTCACCTAGTCAACATTAATTTAAAATGTCTCCTGGAAAAAAAAATCAAGTTTCATAATCTTTTAACTGGAAATTTCAACAGACACATTGGGGAAAATGCAAATTTTATATATATCTCCAGAAACAAGACACCATTGCAAAAACTATAAATTCCAAAGAGAAAAAAGGATGTACAGCAGCAAAACATATGCATTTGTTCATTATGATGTCCAAATGCCATACACAATCCTAATAATGCTTACTGAATGAATGCAAAACTAATGTTTGAGTTGTAAAGCAATCATACATTCAATTAGGGTAAGTTCACAAAATGAGAATGTAACATTAAAAGGACAAAGTCACTGTTGTGTTAGAAATATCAGAGCTTTATGGTAATTTTCTCAGCACTACTATTGCACTTTGTTTGATTTATCATGATTACAATAAGATGCATCATTGCTATGAAATATACATGCACAAAAAATTAATCTCTGCTTCATTCTTATTTGCTTAGAATTAATCCTGTGTACAGCCACTCTAAAATGATAAAATGGTGCTATTGAGAAGCTTCCAACACAAGCACCTTTTAAGAAGGTGTGCTTCAAGTGGTAGAGTGCCTGACTAGGAAGTGTGAAGCCCTAAGTTCATACCCCAGTATCACAAAAAAAAAAAAAACCAAACCAAACCAAAACCTAAAAACAAAAAACCCTACAATGTGTAAGTGTGGATTTATAAACATTGAGGAAGGGATGTTACAAGTAGAACAGGCAAAGTCACACTCAGTATTGCTCACTGATGTCCACTATACCTGCTGCATCTCCTCCTGAGCCAGTTTGAGAGAGCAGAATAAAAGAGAAGCTCCGTGGAGCTTCACACAAGTGCAGCACAGTGGAAGGGCAAAGTCACAGCAAAGAAACCAGAACAATGTAACTAACGGGTGGCCACAACTTAACAAAAGAGAAAATGAAATACTTGATAGACTTTTATCAAGAGCTCTTCAGGTTTGCAAGTGACATGCTTATTTTGGACATCAGAAGTGAATTCATTTTCACTCTAAATGTCTCTCTGCCACATAGCTAAGGATGTCCAAAGAGGAACTGGTGGAGTGGCTCAATGCCTAGCAAGTGTGAAGTCCTGAGTTCAAACACCAGTACTGCTGAGAAAGAAAGAAAAGATGCCAAAAGAGGGAGTATACAAGTTGAGAAGAGAAGAAATAAAGTAGAAGGAAGCTTGAAAGACTGGCATGACATAAAAGGTAGCTCTAGATGTATGGCCAAGACTCGAACACTTTCTCTAAACTGATTTTTTTTTGTAAGAACAAAAACTGATACCAAATAATATGAATGAATATGAAATAATGAAGGTTTATAAAAATGACTACTTATTAAAAAAAAAAAAGCAGGTAAAGGGGTATTTGGAAAATGTGAACACTCAAAATCAGCAGACCCAGAAGGCATGCACACTAAGGTGTTAGGGAACTAGCGAGTGTAGCTAGTGTACTTACTGAGCCACTTACAATTATGTTTGAAAAATCTTGGAGAACTGAGGAGAGATCAGAAAATTTAAAAAAGGCAAATACTAATTTTCAAAACAGGATAGAAAGTGAATGCCTTGTAAACACCTTTTGTTAAGTGATAAAAATTCTCAGTAAAAATTCAGAATATTCTGGAAATATTATCAGAATTTCTAGGGACCTATAAAATGAGGAGTAACACAGAGAAGGACAAAAAAGTCATGCCAAATTTGAATCCATTTAATCTCATCAAATATTATGCCAAATTACTTGTTTTTGGATTAGATAATAAACATAATCATACAGATTAAAACTTTCTACAAATGGATTACGTCATCAGGTAGATATTTCTAATAAGGTATCACCAGGGAGAGTGATGAGATCCATTTTATTTAGGGTTTTTGTTTGTTTGTGACAGGGTCTTGCTCTGTAACCCAGGCTGGTGAGGGACTCGAGATCCTCTTGCTCTAGCCTTCAAGTGCTTGGGAATTACAGGTGTGTACCACTGTACCCATCTTGTGATCTATTTAATTTTTCCCCCTTACCCTCGTGATCAATTTTAAATTAAAATATTTACTAATGATCTAGAAAAGTAAATAACACAATGGAAAAACCTGCAGTTAGCTCTAAATTGGGAACTGACATCAACAATGGGCAAAACAACATCAATTTAAATATGAAGCAATTAAAAATGTGGACTCCAAAAATAAAACAGTAAATAAGAGCATTAAAGTGAATGGATTTACAAGACATAATTCAGTGGAAGGGAAAGAACAACAACTAAAGATGATAAATGATAAAAGATTCTTGTTTCTTACTCTAGCACTGCTCTAAACACATGAGTTACAAATAAATACATAAATAAAAGCATAATACTATGGATAATTCTGGTCAAACTATATACAAAACAGTGTTTCAAGTGTTGGTTTTTTAGTACTGTAAAGCTGCAAACAGAATAGAAAGAATTGCAAAGAGACAGACAGAAATGAGGGGCTATTATGGAATGAAAATCAATTGGTAAAACACAAATGGCCACAACTAAAAAGATGGAGCTGTAATGAACTTTTGCACAGGAAAATGTACACACTGGAGATTTGGGAAGATACATGGGAAATCTAAGTTGAAATGGCTACCTATGAAGTGTGAGGAACCATCAAATAGTGCACAACAAGGAACAGAATGTGGAGGAACTGCAGACACTGCTTTACCATCCTTAGATGTGGTAGGTAATCCTGCAACACTACCAGCTTTTTGGTTATGTAGCCACCTCATTTACAAACAATCTTTCTGCCTAGCCTTCTTTCCCTCGCTGACGACAGCTAGCACTTTCTACTATAAGTGTAGTGAGTAAAACTCAGAAGGGACAAAAGTCAGTTGTCTTCCATGCCAGAAAAAGTGACATCATATAATTTATAAACATTAAATGAGCCAAACAATCCCACACTTAACATGTAAAATCGAGTGATTAAATCATGGACTCTAGGATGCATTCTTAGCCACATTTTTTCTTGCAGGGAAACTGAAATAATAAAGCATGGAAATCCAGATGATCAAAATTATCAGCAGCTCACTAAGGCCTGCAGACGAGGCAGTAACAAGTACAAACAACGAGCCTACTTTGGGAAGGTTCATGGGTGTCCTCAGACGGGTTCGAACGCTCTTCATTAAGATCCGCTGCTCTGTCGGAAGCAAGTGATACTTCATAGCTTCGATAAGGTAATCTTTGCAAGCACTGCTGTTCTTCACCAACACTTCCTCCTCAACCCTCTGTAGGATGAAAGCAGACACATCCCATGAGCTATTTCATGATAAAACTGCCAAAAAACAAAAATGAAGAGGAGGGGAAAAAGCAGTAACTAGTCTCTTTAGATCAGTTTACTTCTGCTCAAGTGTCTGGCCTACAGAGAAAAATTATGCAAGAACAAAGAGAAAATATGTAATGAAAATTATACAGCTCAGTGTCACCTATAGTAAACGATGGACTCTTAAAATACCACTATATTCACCTGTTTCTTATCTTTACACAGCAAGTCAGATAGTTTTTTTTTTTTTTAAAAAAAAAACTCAGATAATGAGTTCTTCAAATGGGTTCAGCAATACTAACAAATTAACGATACTTTTTTAAACCTAACAGGGCAAATAAAATATATGAAAAAAGAGATTCAAAATATTTCATTTTCATTTTCTTATTAGTTCTTTTTTGGAGATACTGGGGTTTGAACTAAGACCCTCACACTTTCTAAGTAGGTGCTCTACCACTTGAGCCATGTCTCCAACCCTTTTGCTTTAGTTATTTTTCAGGTAGGGTCTCAGGTTTTTTGCCCTGGCCAGCCTGGATGGAGATCCTTCTATTTATGCCTTCCTCATAGCTGGGATGACAGGCACATACTATATAACATGAAGGACATGCTAAGCTTTTTTTGTTGAGAAGGGGGTCTCACTAACTTTGTGCCCAGGCTAGCTTTGAACTGCAATCCTTCCAATGTCCGCCTACCAAGTACCTAGGATTACAAGTAAAAGCCACTGCCTAGCATCAAAAATAAGGGGGGGGGGGGCGTAGTACTAGAGTTTGAATTCAGAGCCTTGTACTTGCTAAGCAGGCACTCTACCATTTGAGCCATGCCCCAGCTCTCAAAATACTTAAAACCAATGTTCCTAAATCATAAACTAATTTTGTCCTGGCTATCCCTGACCTCAAATGCAAGACAGGATATTTTTGTTCTTTTTTTAAAACATTAAATAATGAGACTTCGAGAAGTCCTAAAATGCTCAGATCCAATCTTTTAATAAATAAATGTTTCTTTAGATGGTTTCATTTATAAAAAAATAATGCTGAAACATTGGTAGATGGATATTAATTTAAAAAATAATAAATTTAAAATACTTTAGGGACTAGGAAGAATAATTTGCTCCTATTTATTCCAAATCACCTGTTTTCCTTCAGCTTAGAAATAAAAAAACCACATACATGTCACTGTGAAATTATGAAATAGAATTAAATAGTATTTGGGACATCTCTTAAAATTCTATTCCTGCTGGGGAATCCAAAGAAAAAGCAAAGAAGATGTAAAGTAGAAAACCGAGCCACAGGCACATTATTCACAGGTCTATAAATGACCACCAACACTACCCTAGACAAGGTCCAGTTCTTGCTTACCCAAACATTTCTAAGAATGGGGAACAGCATGAGAGGGAGCAGCTTCAAAGATGGCAGGTACCTTTACCATCCTCTTCCCTGCACATTGGGGACCTGTATACTGCAGCTCTGATCACTGTCAGCCCAGACGTTCATGTTTTGCTTATACAATTACCTGAACTAAATACTCTCGAGGAAGCAAAGGTAACCGGACATGTTCCATCAGCCGAGCCATAAACTCCTGCCTCACATCCTTGTCATGGTTCACCCAAGCTATTACTGCTTCAAATACCTTGCAGAAAACATGAGGAAAGGAAAAATAAGCACTATATTATGCACCAAGACATCGGGATAAAACAGGTAAAGACTACATTCTAGTCACAACTCCTGCTAAGACATTCAAGTTTAATCCATGGCTCAAAGTTTTTCAAAATGCTGATTTGCAACATACAAAACCATTCAATCTATTTCTTTTCTTTTTTTTTTAAACATGGAATCTAGTAGGTACTTTCATTTGGTATTTACTAAGCATTTTACCAGATACTTTATCTAGTCTTACTGAACAAGAGAAGTAGCTGTGGTGATGTGATGACACGTGATCTATTTTGCTATCAGCTTTCCAACCTGAATGTAATTCTACTTACATAGATTTGAGTCTCAAGGCCCTTTTGAACAAAACACCTGAAATAAAGCCAGCTTATATTCTGGAATGAAAATCATGTACCCTTATAAATAACTCATTTTAAAACTTTTTACTAAGCAGCAAGAACATTATTACTTACAATATATTTCCGTGAAAAAGCTAATAAACACTATGTAGGCAATGTTCTTCTATATAATTTCCTCTCAGACTGATGAATATATTACCTGATAATCTTTAAAAGGTTGTAAAAAAAATGTATGACAGTATGCAAATAGATTCCTGGAAGCAAAAATAGGTTATTTTGATGTAGTAATAGAGCAAGAAACTAAAAATAGTGCACAGTATAATTAACATCCTTCTTTAATTCATCCTGTCAATAAGTACTTAAGTACTTTCATGTGGCAGGTGTTAGAGATAAAGAAAGTGAACAAGACCGTCTGCATCCTGCTGACTCTCTCTCGTGTTCCTCAGTTCTGTTTTCTCCCCACCCTGCTTCTACCATCCTGCATCACATCCTTTTGCCCAATGACATGACTTCAACAGCCCCACTTTTGGCTCCTTCTGCTCACCACCACCATGAACGCTAGTCTCCAAAGCTGAATCACCTATATATGATTCTGACTGCAGATCCTCCAATGCAAGTCATATCCTCTTCCTTAAAACACTTATGATGCCACCTTCTCATTTCATCTCCTACCACTCTCCCAAACACATTTTAAACCCCTATTGCACTTGAACAACTTGAATGCTAGTATTCTCTGACACCTCTTTGTATATTCTTTGTATATTCTGTTCTCTCCCTCTCTCAGGAGTGTTCTTCCCATTCCCACTCACCCTTCTTCTCCTGCACACTCAAACTTTTGTTTGTTTGTTTGTTTTGGTGGTTCTGGAGTTGAAGGCAGGACCTTGTGTATGCTAGCCAAGCATTTTACCACAGAGCTACATCACCCACTCAAACTCACTTTTAAAGCTCAGATCACACACCCAAACCAAGCTGAACTGCCTTCCGCACATGTACTCCCAGGAAAGTCAAAATGCTCCTACGATATCCTTGATTGTGCTCTGTAATCATTTATTCATGGCACTGTTTACCCCACCAGTCCGTAAGGAAAGGCTATTTTGTAAATTTCATATCTAGGACCCCCAAACAGTCTCTGGTACACAGCAGGCACTCAATACATATCTATTAAATGTAAACAGACATCATTCTCCATACTTCTAAAGTACTAAGATTACAATCTCATAGTTTTTGCATATTTTCTTAAATTGTAAATCTAGAGTGAATATGTCCTCTTATCCAGGTGGGATGACTGTCCTGAGAGATAAGTTTATATAACTTGAAATGCAAACTACACAAAAGAAAAACTTAGGTTTAATTTCCTTTAAGCACAATGTTTTCACAGGCTTTTGTGACCCAATTCTCTTGTGCTAAAAGAAGAAAAAACAAACAAAAAAAACAGCCCACCAAGAGAAGCTTCTTTCTCCAACAATATGAAAGGTTCTGAAGGATGATAAAGAAAACCTGGAATGTAAAGAGACAAAGGGCTACATCCAGAAGAAGCAGCTGCACGGATGGAGGGAGGGAGGGAGAGATGGAGGACACATGGAGGTTATATGTCACAGGAAACCAACCTGAAGGAAGACAACCAAGGACATTCAGTCTAGAACGAATGAAACCCTGCCACTCTGGGAAACTTCTTTCAACTCATAATTTTGGATTACAATTTTTACAGGTATATAGCTGTAGAAAGAAATCCATTTCCCAAAAGGTATTTGTTTCTGATAGCTTCATGTGTGCAAGTTATCGCTATGGAAGTCAAGAACAAAACTAGCGTGTACTGGTTGTGAAATCTACAGAGAAGTGAATTTAAACAATCAACAAGTGAACCAGCTGAGTTTCTCATCTTCCAGATCAAAGATCACTGGCTATCACTACTCACATTGGCTGACAGATTTATGAAATAAACTGAAATAGAGAAACACACTTTGTCACTGTTTACTGGGAAAAGAAAAATGTACATACCTTCTCTTCAGAGGAAATGGTAAGTTTGTCACTTGAGATTAAGCTGCACACTTGTTCAATGCCAAGGTTGAGAAATTCTTCACTAAGTACGACATCTGCAAAGTGTTGCTCTGTTTGGGAATTAAGAAGAAAAGTCATTCTACCAACATCCCAGTATTACAGTTTCAAACTGCTTAAAAAGAAATGCTTCTTTTCTTTCCTTTTTGTTTTTCTGGAATTTTTTGTTGTTGTTGTTTGTTTTTAAGATAGGTTCCTACTATGTAGTGTAGGCTGGCCTAAAACTCATGTAGTCCAGGGATTATAGACTTGAGCCATGTCTCCCAGCTTCAGAAACATTTCCTAACTTAATCTAACCTAAGAATGAAAACACAAACTTCCTCTGAGCAAGGACTACCATCCACAAACTCAGAGATCCTCCAGAAAGTATCCTGAGTATTTTGCTTCTACCCCAGCACAGCAGCAGCACAGATAGGAAGGCTGTCATGATGGACACTCACTCAGCTGAGTCACTCCTGTTTATGACATTTCAAAATTAAACATCCTTACATGGTGAAGACACTATTGGTATTAAAATTGGTAAAACCTTCTGATCACATAAATCATAAAGTACATGGTGTTCTAAATCCACGCACTTGAATGTATTATGTAAAACATCACAAGATGCTAGGACACTATGAAGGAAAAAAAACTCTGAAAAGCACACTAAACTAAAAAAAAAAAACTTAAATGCTGGTCAATCTGAATATGTGACAGACATTTAAAAATGGTTTATCATGTAGATAATTCTGAATTCTATAGAAGCAATTTATTTGGACATAAAATAATTGTGCATCCCAGTCTCTCCCTGAAACTAGTAAGATCAGAAGTTTAAAAAATACTTAAAAACAACTTTTCTTGATTTCACAAATATATTCACTCTTCCCAAAGAGAAAAAGCTCTATTATATAATTATCTAAAAATTTATTATCTAAAAATTTACAAAGGACTAATCTTTGCCAAACTAGCCTTCCTGTAAACCCATCTCTCACTCATGAAGTCTGAGTGCCCAGGAGATTGTGGTGGTTTGGGCTTTGCAGTCTAACATAGGAAGTTTGAATCCTGCTCTGCCATGTACTAGCTTGTATGACCTTAGCAATTATGTGATTTCTCTAAACCCTGATTTTCACATCTTTAAGGGATGATAATATCTTCCCTAACAAGAATGCTATGAGGATGAAATACCCTAATGGCTTAGAAAGCACCCAGGACTGTGTCTGGTTGAGAATAAGGACTCATTCACTTAGTGCTTAATATTGTCATCTCTAAGTTCTAAGAGTAAAAATTTGCTAGAAAAGCTAGGTTATTTTCTAGGTATTCACAATTAACTATATTCTAATAGCATATATTTAAAACATTTTTCTAAGGTGAAATAACAGATCCATTTCAAATAATGTATTTCAAAATACCATGAGAAGGATTAATTGGTTTCCCCTTGAGAGCATTTAAAAAATCCAATGTGCAAATTTTCAAAACCCTCATTAGTAAGTATCCACTTTATAAAAGGTTGAACACAGGATGACTTAAAAACAATAAGCAGCTCTAGAGTAATTGTAAAATCACTGGATTTACAGATATAAAGTCTTTTTTTGAAATTCAAAGTATTGGGTAAGCAAAGTATTAAACCAAAACAAATGTGAAAGTGAAGATAAAAAAATTAACAACAACAACAACAACAGCAATGGAACAGAAGAATAGAGAACTCAGTAAAAGTCCCACACAAGTGATCTTCGATACAGAAGCAAAGGGCTGGGGGTGTGGCTTGAGTGGTAGTATACTCACCTAGAATACATTCAGCCCTGAGTTCAATTCCTGGTACCACCATAAAAGACAAGCAAACAAATGACAACAACAACAACCCCCAAGAAGTAAGATAAACTCAATAGAGAAAGGTGAGTCTTTTTGACAAATGATGTTTAAACTGCACATTATATGCAAAATAATCTCGACAGAGACCTTATTTTTCCAAAAATGTTCATTGAAAATGGATCACAGATCTACATGTTAAACACAAACTATAAAACTCCTAGAAGACAACACAACAGAAAAACCTAACAGAGCTTGGATCTGGTGATAACTTTTCTTTTTTTGTTGTTGTTTTGGTTTTGGGTTTTTTTGGGGGGTACTGAGGCTTGAACTCAAATCTTTTCTTATGTAACACTGAAAGTATGAAAGAAAAAAAGTTAGTAAGCTGGACATCATTATAACTAAAAAACTACTCCCCAAAAGACACTTTAAAGACAGTAAACTGAGGCTGGCCATGATGGTACGTGTAAGCCCAGCATGTGGAAGGCTGAGGCAGGAGAGATGTGAGTTCAAGATCAGCCTCGGCTATACAGTAATATCCTTTCTCAAAAACAAAACAAACAAACAAACAAAAAACGGGGCTGGTGGAGCGGCTCAAGTGGTAGAGTATCTACCTAGAAAGTATGAGGCCCTGAATTCAAACCCCAGGACTGCCACAAGAAAAAAAAAAAGGCGGGGGTGGGTGAAGAAGGGACAAAAAGATAAGCCAGACTGGTACAAAAATCTTTGCAAAGCACATATCTTATAAAAATATAAAGAACTCTTAAAATTGAACAATAAGATAAATAAGCCAATTTGAAAATGGGCAAAGATCTGAATAGATACTTCATCAAAGAGGATAAAAAGATGGAAAATAAGCACACAAAAAGATACTAAACCTTTTCTGCAATCACAGAAGTGTACACATCTAAAAAAAAGAATTTGCATGTCTATTAATACTCCTAAAAACCAAAAACACTGACAACACCAAGTACTGGATAAGATATCCAGCAACCAAAACTCATTCATTGCTGGCAAGTAAAGTTTTGGCAGTTTCTTCTAAAATCAAACGCACTCTTACTGTATGATCCAGAAATTGCACTCCTTGTCATTTATCTGAAAGAGCTGAATGCCTATGGCCAAACAAAAATGTGTACATGATGCCAGACACAGTGACACACACCTGTGATCCCAGCACTCAGGAGGCTAGGGCAGGAAAATCACAAGTGCAGTCCAACCTGAGCTACACAGTGAGTCTGTGTCTCAAAAAAAAAAAAAAATCTGCACACAAGTGTTTACAGCATCCATGAATATTAATTACACAAAACAGAATTATTATGTTATATCTAACTAAAACAGTATCAAACAGGCCCTCTTGGGGGGGCCTTCAGGTCATATATACCTATTCCAAAATTATCTCACAAGTCTCATCCAAAAATTACAAGGGACTAACCATAACTTTAAGATTACAAGTCTTACCTACCAAACATAGTCACTTGCTAGTTCCTGTAAGATGCTCACCCAATGATAGAGATCTATCGGTAAGACTCTACCATATAAGCCACACTCCCCAGCCCTTTTGTATTTTTGAGACAGGGTTTTGGCTAACTTTGCCTGGGCTGGTCTTGAATTCAAGATTCTCCTATTTCTCTCAGTAGCTGAGATCACAGACATGCACCAGCACACTTGGCGTGCCTAATCAACTTTCTATCAAAACAACTCATACAACATTTCTCTTTCCTAATACCAACCCAGCCTCTTTCCTGTGTTCTGCAGGTACACCAAGAGACCATCTAGTCTATATGCATATTTTGAGTTGTAATTTTATTCTTTATATATATTCTCAAATAAACTCTTCGCTTAGAGCTTCATCTTTCTCTCTCATACATAGTTTTTCATGATGACAAAGCTTTATTTATAATTGCCATTTTTTTCATTTTTATTAGGATATATTCGTTGCACGGGGGGGGGGGGTTCCTTGTGACAATTTCGAATAGGCTTACACTGTACATTAGTTAGATCACCCCCACCATCTCTCCCCTACAATCCTTTCTCCATCCCACTTAAATCACTTGCAAGAGGTTTCATTGTTCTATTTCATATATGTATATGAAGTCTATCAACCATATTCCCTCACCTTCATCTCCTCCATTCCCCCCCCCCCCACAAGTACCCACAAACACACTGTACCTATTTCACAGTCCTGTCTTTCATTTTTATTTCCTAAGTCCAGGTTCAAAGGAGTTTCCCAATGTATCTCTGCTGTGAGTATACTTGCTTTGGTCAGTTCAGCCCTTTCTGTTACTCTCCCTTACTCCTTCCTTCCCACCTCCATCATTCAGCAACTTTCAGTACATATAGTTATATCCTCTCCCCATAGATGTTATGTATTTCAATATTGTTGACTATCATTCTCCTTTCCCTTCCCTCCTCCCGAGTTCCACAGAGCAATTCCACCGTGACAAACATGTTCTACATGTAAGTTTGAGTATGATCATGTCTGTTATTGTGTATATGTTTATCTTTTGGATCTATCTTCCACATACAACAGAAAACATGTGGCCTTTGTCTGTCTGATCCTGGCTTACTTCACTTAACATGATGTCCTCCAATTACATCCATGAACCTCAAACCATGTGGTGCCATTCTTCCTTATGGCTGAATAAAATTCTATTGCATATATACACACCACAATTTCTTAATCCATTCATCAGTAAGGTATCTGGGTTGTTTCCATAGCTTGGCTACTGTGAATAGTGCTGCAATGAACATCAGTGTGCAACTGTCTCTATCGTATCTGGACTTACATTCCTTCAGATATATGCCCAGGAAAGGTATCATTGGATCCATTTGACAGTTCTAGTTTTAGTTTTTTAAGGAATTATAATTGCCAAAACTTTGAAGATATCCTTCAATAAAGATGTCCTTCAATAGCTGAATAGATAATCAAAGTACAGTAAAACCATACAATGAAATACTATTCAGCAATAGAAAGAAATGAGCTTTCCATCTATAAAAATTATGGAGGAACCTTAAGTCCATACTGCTAACTAAAAGAAGCCAATGTGAAAAGATTCTATTGTTCTAACAAGAAGATGCTCTGGAAAAGGCAAAACTATGGAAACAATAAAAAGATCAGTGGTTAACAGGGTCTGCCATAGGAGGAGAGAGAGATGAAGAGAGAAGTTTTAGAGCACGAAAGCCATTCTACTATGGTGGATATACACCATTACACATTTGAGAAATCTACAGAACGTACAATACAGTGAACCCTACTATAAGCTACAGA